TGTTACGCGTTTGAATTTAAATCGTTTTTTGTTATAACTTATTCATCTTATCAGCAATGTGTGCGTTGAAGATATTATGCAGGTCTACATTATAGCTTCATATTGACTTAACAATGCGATATTCAATTTGTTTCCGTTTTTTTTTGATATATTTTCTATTGTTTACTGGTGTGTTATGTCTTCAAGTTGTTTCGTCAACTAGTATACGATTAACGAGTAATTCCCTGCACTAACAGACAGGGTGTTTAGCTCAAGGTAGTTTACGTTTATTTTTTTTATAGCAAATCAGCAAAAATTAAAGGTTTTTATTAAAAAAAAGTCTATAGACAAAGACCGACGTTAGTAACTTTCAGCTATTGTTAGTTACAATCATCATGAATTTAAGATGATTAGCTTATAATTTTTTCTTTTATTTGGAAAATTCTGTGATGACCGATGACCATCTAACTTTGTTAACCATTTACACTTCTTTGATAGTTTTCATAATATAGGATTAAAAAAATACTGGCAACTTACAACACTACTTTAATAATAACCGGATTCTTTATGAGTCTGTTATAAAAAAGTAAATTATTTGTTTGATTTTAGAGAATATTTTTTATGTTTTTCAGCTCCAAATTATCACCAGCATCAATTCGGGACGGTGACTGTTTTCCAGTTTCATCATCAGACAGGATAATAGTACCAGAATGAGAAATAAGATATTACTGTAACAGAAATTATCAGGTGACGAATCTTCTATCAAATACAAGTCTACAATTATGATGTATTGGTTTGAAGTATAATTTAAATAATTGTTTTGTCATGTTTGTTTATTAAAAGGATCGATTTTGTGTTTTTGGAAAGAGCATAAAAGACAGAATTGCAATCGTTTCTTCGGAACTATATGAATTAACTCTCGTTAAAATACTTTAATCGGTAATGTGTTAATGTAAGTAAAATCCAAACACATCATAAATTAACCAACTCACAGAACAACTAAATTTAAAAATGTCTCAAACAAAAAAATCATCAAAGTTCTATTCAATACATTTTCCGTTTTAATTCCAAATTGGATTATTATCAAACACTACATTTCTAATAACATTTAAAACATGACATTTAATTATTACATATCACCATGATCCTTCAGTGGGTTCATCTGTCCGATGAATACGGGTGTGCGTTCCCGAAGACCACAGCTGCCGCTGTTCTCCCCATGTCCTTTCCGAATAGCGACATCCTAACCCATTTATTCCTATCAATTCTTCTCTTAATACCCTTCCCTATATCCGTCTGTTGCCCCTCCAAATGACCAGGGTGACGACAAACAATTCATCACAAGACAAACATCACAGCAACATGCATCACAACATCAATGTTCCTGGCGAATTGTGTGCGAAGTTTGTAATTTATCCTGGCATATAGTAAACACTCGGCTCATTGTGTATCGAAAAAAATATTCACAAGGAGATATTGTTGTAAACATCACATGTCATTGGTAGTGCCAGTAGTCAGTAATTCTTTAGGCTGCTCGGAAAATAAAGTGTCACCTTTAATAAGTATCGAAATATAATCAAAATAATTACCAGGACTATATGATTTGTCAGGGCAAATTACAAACGGATAGAGTAACACGATTTTCCACTGACAATAACACCACAAACTTAAATTAACATCACACCAAATTAAAATAACAGCAAATATGACGAATATTAAGCAATATGATTATTTCATCGTTGTTTTTCACATCACAATTTTAAGATTATAAAATTATCATCACAATGTAAGTAATGTATTAATATCACAATCAAGAATTAACCATCACTTTTCGTGCAATAGATTAACACCAGATTAATACAATCACAAAGTGAAGATTTGTCATCCAAGCTGTAAGGGTGGCGATGAACACATAACAATATATACATCACAGTAGTAATGTACAGCCATCATATGATCATCACATTTTGGGATTATTATCAATTACACAAATATTCCATCACAAGTAAACGACAATAAAACAAATGTGCAAAACTAATATTACAATTTTTATATCAGATAATTACGTCCATCACATCACATCATATGCAATAGTTATCATAATCATACAATAAATTATTCATCATCACAACGCTAGACATCGACCCTTTGTGTGCGAAGAGTATTCACGTGTGCCCACATCCCGGTAAACAGTGAGTCGAGGGAACTAGACGGGGTTTAGTGGGTAGCCTCCTTGTCCGTTTAGGGATGTGGAGAGAGTCCCACATAACCGGAGTGGCTTTCCCCGAGGCACACGGTATGCGTAACGCATTCCCCCTCTTAAAAAAAAAGACATCAACCCTTACGTAAACATAAAACGTCTAGAAATGTCATGTGTTTAATAAAACTAAGTTAAAAATTGTTTTATAGTGATCGTATATTTTTATAAAGTTGTATGGTATATACAAAATGAACATAAGGGTTAAAGGCAAAAGCACCATCACAATTAATTCTTAACATCACAGTACTATCGCAATCTTAGTAATGGATTAACATATCAAACAATTGACAACACAATATTCATCAATCAAGTCAACAAAAAAAATCATCCTTACATTGTGTGCAAAATAAACTTCACGTAATGGATCAATATCACAACGAATTCTTTACTTACGTAATTTTAATAAATCTTCTTGCTCGATATACGATTGTTAAATGTTTTGTGAAATTATTAAGTGTGCAAATAATTTTATCTTAATGTAAAAAATTATTTTATATTTTTTTATGATCTGTACAAGAAATAAATTTTTTAATAAATAATTTGTTTGTTATTTTTCATTTTATTTAGATCATTGCTTCGTACATTACAGAATTAGTTTTCTTTTTTCATAAGTTTCAATTGGGGGTAAATTGAAATGGTATATTTATACTTTTACTTGAAAACATTGATCAGAATAAATATTTAAGATATTAGTTGCAGTCGACGGTAACAGCGGCGGGTCAACGTATAGATAAGTCTTATCATGTACAAATAACAATGAATTGCCAACTTATTATCTAAATAAAAATGATTTACTTACAAACAAGTAATGCATCAAACATATAAATCCGACTGGGACATTTCAGGAACGTAATTTGAATGACAATCTACTCTTTTAAAACGGCCAAGTTTGTAGGCTACTGGAATTCATAATACAAAGGTAATATCATCAAATTTTTCGTACGTTATGTAAAGGGCAATAATTTATCCGCCTGTAAATGTATGCAGACATGTTGCCGAACTATGTATGCAGTCTGAACATTTTTATCTTCAATTAATAAAAATATTCCAGTGACTAAAAAAAACAATTATAACATTATAATTTCCATTTTATTTTTTCCTATTATTTTCTATTTAAATTATATTAATAAATAGTTGGGTTAAAATTTGTTCACATCCATTTTTATTCTTCTTTTAAGTTACGTTACGAAAATTATTTCTTTTCTCCGACAGCTCAGTTAACTGTCAAGTAAAGTTTATATGTAATATATTTTGTTTTTAGAACTGAAAATTTTTCTGAGATCTAACGATAATAATTAAGTAAATGCATTAACTAACAAAGGGTTAATTTTCCTAAAGACTATCTTGCTATGACTTTTAGTTTTTTAATTATTTTAAATAATAATATAATTATAAATAATATAACTATTAAATAATAAAGTCGTTATCAAAGAAATCATCTAACTGAATAATCTTTAAAAGATATTACTTCTGAAATTATTTTCGATAGCAGGGAAATTGAAAATTTGTTACTAAGTAACATTAAAAATTTTCTTTTTAGCATACATAATTTGTTAACAACAAAGACGAAAATTTCTGAAAAAAAAAGAAACGCCCGAACAGGGGGTTGAACCCTGGACCCTTGGATTAAAAGTCCAATGCTCTGCCACTGAGCTATTCGGGCTATAGCTAATGTATTGGATAAATCGAACATATTCGTACTTTTACAGTGATAATTCATACTAAAATTGTGTATTTCAAAGATAAACAATAATAAAATTGATGCTGAATGATTCGGAAAGACGAAATAAAAATGAAACAAATATGGCTCCTATTAAAGTGGCTTTATACGCTTTTTAACGCGTATTAGAAGCTTATATATTACTTAAATTAAGTTTTTAATAATAATTTGCAATTAAATCATTGTTTATAGTGTCGCATTTGATTTATATTTGGTAATAAGGCTTATATTTAGTGCACGTAGGTCGATAATGCAGTGCAAAATGGCTACGGAATTATTCCTATTGATTGCCGACTGTTTTACCGACCTTGTCGCGTATTCAGAACACTGTTTCGCAATACGATTGAACAGATTTACATCTAAAAAATGATTCTTATTTGCGTTATTAAAACAATGAGTTATAAATGCTTATATTTTTTATTGAAACAATACGTATAAGTTTAGAACATGAAATAAGAATAAAATGTAGAACTTGAATTTATAATTTTCATTATATTTTACTTTTATATTTGCATAATAAGTATGGGGTTGGGAAGGGTATCGTGGGGTAGTTTACGCAATTATTTACGTAGGTGTAAGTAGCAAAAATCTCGATCGCAAATTTAACTTTGTATATGTAATGTTATCAGCTGTATCTAGAAGATTCAATAATGTATAAGTGTAGGTCATTGCTCGTATTTCTTTTATTGTAAAAATAAATAAAAATTAATTTAATCTCTATTCTATTTATTACTGATGATATCTTACTATTATTATAAATGTGATTGTTTAAATGGATGGATGTTTGTTAAAAGGTATCTCCGGAACGGCTGCATGTATCTCGCTGAAATTTGGCATAGATGTAGAACATAATCTGGAAGTACACATAGGGTACTAATTATTTTTTTATTCCGCGCGGACGGGGTCGCGGGCGGTAGTTAGCATAACATTGTTAGCGTAAAGTATTTTCTTTGTGTATGCTTATATGTTTAAAATGTTATAAAATATATTGGGAAATAAAAGAATATTTAAAGTACCAAATACTTTATTTATTGATGAAAGTGAAAAAAAATATAAAGTTGACAATATGAAAGAACAATATTGTAAGCGATAGTGAACGCCATCTTGTTGAAGTTTACAAATCGGTCACTTGTGCACCACCTGTAAATATAATTAAGTAGTGTTAATTTGTGTATATTACAGAGAAATAGTGAAATCTGACATTTAGTTATTTGTCTAGGTAAATTGTAATGACTGAGCAAATTGCATTCGTGTACACAGACTGAAGTTGATTATATAGTCTTACTAATCTTACTATAATATTAGTAAGACTATATAATCAACTTCACTTAAATGCGAATGCTTAGATGTAGTAGAGTATCACCGGAACGACAAAATTAATCTCGCTAAAATTTGGCACAGATGTAGAACATCTGAATGTACACATAGGCTACTTATTTAGTTTGATTTTATTTCCGCGCAGACGGAGTCGCGGGCGACAGCTAGTACATGATATAGGCAACAATATGATAACTTATGTGTTATAGTTATATCTTTGAAAGTCCCGGCAAAATCGATACAGCCGCTTCATCTGTTACCCGAAATAAACGCAGACTTACGTACAGTCAGACCGAACATAATGTAGGAAAATTTTATTTTGATGTTACGTACAGACACACTATTTTTATAAATATAATTTATTATATAACCGTCTTTGTGAATATTTTTTTTTTATAATATATAAGTATTTAGATTCACAATTACGTTAGACAATCAGCAGAATATTTTAGCTGCTTTTTACTATTAAACATATTGATTAAGCTCTTTTTGAAAATAAATCGATAAGTAGATCATTCGAACTTCTTGTAATGTTAAAACTTGTTCTTGTATGTTACAAAATCAAAGTGTATTCAAAAAAAGTTTTTATTAATGTTTTTGGCCATTAACTTTCTTGATCGTTTTCAGGAACAAACATAGCACCAAAAGATTCACCGCTTCCTTTCGGACTATCGCTTAACCAGGTTTGACTGTATACTTACAGGCAGGAGCATGCGTATCCTGCGCGTCATCCAACACCACAGTGTTACAAAACATTTTGCACTGTTCATCACTCATATATGCATTTTGAATAGATCCATTTATCTGGAAATAAGAAAGTAAAACAATGTTTATTATTAACCCTAAGTTTCCATTGCCCAAAAATTTCTCAAACACAGTGTAACGAAAATGTATTATAAATACTGTTTGGATGGATGGATGGATGTTTGTTAGAAGATATACCCAGATCGATTTCCTGGCACTCTGAATATACTCTAGAAAAAAAAGGCTAAAATTTTTTTTTTGTAATTCTACGCGGACGAAGTCGGGGGCGACAGCTAGTGATGTTATATATGTTTTGATCACTAGCAAACTACTTACCACTGTAACAAATGTGAATCTTTAACAACATTTAATTATTCTGATTACATAATACACAAAGCATAAATACATTCGTATATCGTAGCTGATACAAGTGCTACGATAGTAGCTACGGTGCTACGGAGTTATAATGAATGTCATATCGTAAGTTCCCATTGCCGCGAAATTCGAATAAAAAATATTAATATTTTTTTTCAAGGTATTTAGCCTCTACCTATAACTATATTATTTAAATATCGATTCTAAATTAATTATAAAAAAATACTTACTATCATCTTGTTTACATTCATGCCAAGAACGTAATTCTTAGCCACGGAACCGACGTTGACTAAGCTACTGCCTATCTCATCTTCATTGTCAAGGCTCTGCTCACGTATAACTGATTCTATAACATTTTCGGCCAAGTTCTCAGTCAATGCTCTGGTGTAAGTATGGCCATCTAATACAGAGCCGGATGCAGCGCTGCAATAAACAATTTTATTCCCGTAAATATCTATTATAGTACGACAGTAATGGCCGGATGATAAGTAGTCCTAAAGTAAAGTATAGTACATAAAAAATTAAAAAACAAAGCGGCGGATTATCAAGATAAAATGAAAGTGATGATAAAAGTTAAAAAAAATCCCAAACCTCACACGTAAAACATTTTAAAAAGATACCTCAATGGATTACACGTAGTTATTATGTTATTATCAGAAAAAAATATAACTTTAACTGTTGCGTGAATATATGTAAGAAATGAAAAGTGCAAATCAATGTCGAAAAATTGTCCGTTAAAAAAACCTAAGTATAGTCAAATGAGAATATTTAAGCTGGTTAGATGTAAAGCGAGTTTTGTGAGAAAATACGTAATATGGACATAGAAAATGGCAAAATAAAACAGTTGATAGATGTAGTATGAAAAGAGGAATTTACAGAACATTTTTTTTTATGCCGACTGATATGCCGGGTCTGATATGTCGCTTGTAAGAAATATATTTACATTAGTAAGCGTCCGCACAAATAAAACGTTTATGATAATAGTTTTGCTCATTTTATTCATAATACCGCAACGACCGACCCCGCTACGTCCTAGACGTTTTCATTAATACAATGACTAGTATTATTTTGTTTATAAAATGTATTGTGTCCATTTTTTTTAAAGATTTTTAAGAATTTTATTTTGTTAATATCTTTATCATTGAGTAAATTAACTATACATTACAGTAATTAACATTCAACGGTTTATAATTTACAATATATAAAAAATAGAAATAAGGAACTCCCTAAAGGAAGACTACTTAAGACTAACGCGTATACATAGGACGACCCAGTGTGCGTCGCCCAGTTGTCCGGCCCGGGTATCGGGGTAGATGAGACAGATAAAGACCTCCGGAAGCTACAACTGGAGGGCTGGCACGGGATCGGGGAAAGTGGAGGTTTTTGTTGCCGGAGACCAAGATTTACTTCAGGTTGCTACGTTACCTTAGACTACTTAGGACACTTACTTGGTAATGTACAAACGTTTGTTAAGACCATCAATTCCTCGCACTTTTTTAGCAGATGCACCCGCGTTTGTAGTCACCTTCACGTTTCCACTGGTTATCTGAATTGCAATATCAACTTTTGCAGTCGACTGCGCCATAAGCTTATTGGCATTCTTGAAAAATATTAAGAAAATATCAAGATCAGTGTTCAAGTTTTATAATACAAACTAAAGAGACAGAATTATATATGTATGCATTGGCTAGTCTACGTGAATAAAAGATTGGGGCCTGTGTTCACCACACATCAGTGTAAAATGATTTACTTTATGTCAAGATATTTTATGCTATATTCACAACAGCAGCTGCTTCTAGCTTTACAAATATAATATGCTAGAAAATTTTATAGCCAATATGGTTAAGTGATTCGATGGCATAGTCGTGGGTTCGAATCTCTTCATTTGACTATTGTTGCGAACTTTTCTAGCAAACGTCTAGAGTTTAATTGGAAGGGTTGCAAGAAATTCGAGTATGATAATACGAAAGAAAAACAAAAGAAATGTAAAAGAAGATGGTAGGAAATAAATTTGTGGGTCCCTAAATTGAAGAGAAATTTTAGCTGCTGATTTCCTGAGACTAATAAAATTTTGAAAGGGTCTATAAGAAAAAATATGAAAAATTAAAATTATAAAAATTAATTATTTTTCGAAGGCATTTAAAATATAGTAAAGAGTAAAAGCTAAAAATATGTTCATAACACATACCGGCATTTTCACAATTATCGACTCCCTGGAAAAAACTACGTCCACTACGACATGGAAGCCCTCTTTATCAAGAGTATGCTTGCTGGTTGCTCCTTCGGAGTCCGTACCCTTCATATCCAATGCCATTTTAATCTTAAAAATATATAATATTAATTATTAAAAACACTTTTTATATGTCATTACATTTTTAACAGTAAAAAAATGGGCGTTGCCGAAAAAGTTTTCTGGTTTAATTTAATTATTCTAAAGTACATTCATATATATAATAAACAAGTATTATATAAAACTGAGGACATTTTCGATTTATTCATAGTGTAATTGTGATCTACTAGTCCAGACATTCTTTTGAAACTAAATGCGGAGTAATTGTATAAAGAAATGTAGTTCGCCATTTTGTAACGGCGGCAATCTTGGATTTTTAAAGTGCGCAGTACCTGACCAGTCAGGTCTTTTCATTTATCCGTAACTCCATAATTTACACTTCACACACAACAACCCTCATTTTTAAGACGAATATAATTTTCATGCAAAATTTCAGCCACAACATTTAATTTTAAATAGATGAATTTAAAAAAAACATGTTATTATGTCCAGAAACTTTTATTATATTTAAAGATATTTTTTTTATTGTAAAAATTTGATTTTCAATTGAAATTACCCCGGTGAAATATTTAGAACTGTAATTTTTCAATCAAAGACTGCGCCTATGCATAGGATTTTGCCTTTGTTTTTTAAAAAAAATGGAATAAAATACATATAGTTACGGTAAAAATGTCTTGCATCATAAAAAAATGAAAATAATATTTATAAAGTCGTAAAGAAAAATTACAAACGCAAAATTATGTTTAAAAAACACAAAACAAAACACAATGATAATGTCTTTAAATTATTTTTAAAGTAAAATGCAATATGTAATCTAAAACAATACGCAAGATCAAAACTCAAAGATGACTAATATTTTGCATGATTTTTTTTTATTTATTTTATTATTAATTCTAAATAATCAAATATAATAAATAATAAACTTACATCTTAATCTTCCTTCAAAATAATCACTTAAACTTTCAGTATTTCGGAAGTGGTCCGGTAGCAGTCTAGTTTGCAGGAGATATTGAATCGAAGTGTGACAATTTGCCTTCGCACGTAATGTGGTCCTTTATAGTGTGACAACGTTGCGTTTGTAAAATTAGGACTTAGGATTCAAAACATTCCGGAAAGTTCGACTGCCAACGTGACTCATTAATTCATATTTGGTCTCTGTTTTATCAAGGAAAATGAAAGGGACGACAACACTATATGTATTTACATGTACGTAACACAACAGGAGATGATGTAAAATGATTTTCCTATTGAAATATTATTTAGTCACTTTATTTAATTTAATTAATTAGTACCTTTTGCTATACAGGATGATTTTATAATGAGCTTTTATGTCCATGTTGCTTTTTTCTCTAACCGTGGGTTTCCAAATTAAATTTTCTTTGAAAGACAGACATATAAAACATACCATCTGTGCACGCGACTTCGTCCGCGTGAAATTCTGTCTTCGGGTAGCATTTTAATTATTTAGACTATTTCAATTATTTTTTGGACTTATAAAACATTACAACAAACATATTAAACTTACAAACTTTAATCCCCTATTCCCTATTATTGTTTTACACCCTTGAGGGTAAAAGTTTTACAAACTGAATATTATATAAGCTTTTGACTGTAGCCTATGTCCTTCTTTAGGCTCTACACTATCTGTGTATCAAATATCATTATAATCAATTGACTAGTTTTTGCGTGAAACTGCGACATACAGACAGAGTTACTTTCTCATTTGTGATATTATTAAAAATAATAGTAAGAATTGCTTTTGTTTTTCAAAGACAATAAGAGAGATAAGTGAAATGTCTTTCTATAGCTGTTTTTTCAATGGAAACAGACCGTTAAAGAAAAAGCAAGATAAACAGGAACGCGCACGGCTGTAGACATAAGTTTAAGTTTAAGTAATTTTATCTCTCTATAATTATTCTTTGCCATAAAACTATAATAAGTTTAGACTCTAAGTATTTGCATGGAATAGGAAGCATTTATAAGACAATTAACAAAATGCTTTTCTTTAAATTTTAATGTAACTTGCATTTTACATTCGTGAAGGCAATTAGCATCGTTAATTTGTGAAGTGAAATTTTCGCTAGATTAAGGCTTAGGTAACAATTAAATAATTCTGAATCTGAGAAAATCTTACTTACCGTGTTGTCACTGAATACTACAAAGTGTTGATTTTCCATGAATTGTGTTTTAAATTACAAATTGCTTACGTAAGTTTTCGTTACGATTGGAAGTCAATGTCAATCTTATGATCTGTTTACTTGTAATGTGAAAGTGTTTTTCTCAACAAATACATTAGTAAACTTTTAAGAAATTAAGCTAAAAGTTAACGTAGATTCTGATAGTTGCAGAGTATGTAAAAAAAAGTCCTCCTATTTTGTTTTTCAATGAAAAATTGCTTGTCGGGAGAAAAAACACATATGACCTTTCATTAGTCCTTCATTTTTTGCACAATCTTCGGGATACGTATAAAACACGTGACCACGTACACAAGTTGTTTTCAGCTTACAATGTCAATATGAATAATTTTAAATTGATGAATATATGATTAGAAATAAGATGCGTCGCAGCCAATTGCGATTTGGGTAATGCGCCGTTGGCGATTGCGCCACCGAATCTCAACATTAAGCGCTGTACATGTTATCCACAGGTCCTGAGTTCGATCCCCGGTCCCATGAATATGTTTTCCAATTTTTTTTACCTAGCCACGCCTAATTAACGATAAAAATATAAACACTACTAACTTTTGCTAGATCTTTCTTTTGTCAGTCCATGAATAAAATAAAACAGTATGATTAGTATTATATGTTCTGTACAATTGTGTTCTACATGAAAAAGAAATTTCATCGAGATTAATTTCTCTGTTTAGGGAGAAAGCTAGTAAAAACATTTAACAAACATAAAACCAAACATCCATCTAACCAATCAATCGCATTTATAAACTCTTACATTTTTTCTGTAACTTTTATATTTATCTGAAGAAATTTAAACATTTAAGTATAGTGCGATTTATCGATGCCATCTTTTGTGCAATAAGCCAAACACTGTTTACGCGATATGGTAAATTACAATTTCCATATTGGACGAAGTTTTCCATTGTTTCTCAAAGTGGGTAATATCTTTCAATTTTTATTATATCACTTACATAAGACTGTGAGCTTGGAGCCGAGTCCGCGAAATAATACCAGTACCACTCATCCTGATGAAGGGCCCCCGATGGGCTCCAATCTAGTCGGTGCCGCCACCGGACGAATATACGTGAGTGTTTAGCCGTTTTCATATCAGTTTAGTATAATGTCTCACGAAAGTTTTAATAATTAAATCACTTAAGGCTATTTACTAAAAGTTAAGCAGTGATTGCAACGCAATATTATAATAGGTTAAGTGTACTTCGTTATATTCGTTGGCAAGCATGCATCTATAAAAATTATGATATATAGACAAGTTACGAGATTGAGAAGATAACAAATTCAGTCTTGTCTAACCTTGACAGTAGCTTGTAGCCTCGGTTGCGCTGAATCATTACGCTGCATGATATGAATTCCTAGGTGGCCTTGGGTTTTTTTCCTTAAGTACGCGGTACTAAGAAAACTTTGAACATCAGGGATGCTGAATCTCGCTATCGAAGTTTTTGTCATTTGAAACTATATAAGGAACTCCCGCTGCAATACTATTGGGAAGTCCGTTTCTACACAGTCAAGCGGTGTTTGTGGAGTTATCTAATTTCTTCACACTCTTGTTATTCATCTGGCAAGAGCACTGTTAAGGGAATGCTGCCGTAGACCATGAAGCTGGCCGGCAATGGTTATTAGAGGTATTGGCCGCCTCGCCACCACTGTTGTAGAAGTTCTGACTTCCTTTTGTTCAACATCTTACTAATATTATAAATGCGAAAGCTTAGATCGATGGAAGGATAGATGTTTTTTAAAAGGTATCTCCAGACCATCAGGCAGCATGGATCTCGCTGAAATTGGGCATAGATACAGAACAAATTCTGGAAGAAAACGTAGGCTACAAATTAAGTTTTTTTTTTAATTCCGCTCGAATGCAGTTTCGGGCGACATCTAGTTTGAAATAAAACTGTTTGTCGATCTTATAAATTTTTCAAATTATTTAAGTGTTTTTATTATTCTTTTTGCGGACCGACAACTAGGTTTTAAAAAATTCAAATGCGTGAGTGGTTAAAATTTTTTCACGAAGCACTCGTCTCCGGACAGGCCCACTATTCTTTATATTTTGTTTCAAAAAATCATATTTGGTCGAACAAATCTCCATGAAAAATATGTTTTTTTTTCATAAAATAATAGGTAGGCGGAAGAGCGTTTGATTTGTACGAAGAAAATGTTTAATGGGTGATTTCGAAATAAAGATATTTAAAGATTCCGGTGTTATCCACGCTGCAGTTTTATCGCAAGTATACATTGTTTATCCGTACAAAACAGATTGTTACATGTTTTAGGGATGTTATTTTACAAGTGTTTCGTCCGATTTTAAATTGTCGAAGTTCACAATTTATTGGTAACATATATTTCATCAGGCGTGGAGACGGAGGAAGCAGTAGAGCGTGGTTGACAAGAAGTGGCTGAGCTCGTGAACCTTTTGATAACATGTAAAATCCTGTCCTACGGAACTTCGTCCTGCCTAAATATTCAATCCCCAACATCTCCAAGGAAATAAGATAGACGAGCAATGTTGCGACTATCGCTATTTCACTTTAACAGTATTTTTTTTTATTTATAAAAGTAATAATTACGTTCTTTCTAAGAAATATTTGTTAAAAAATATTTTTCTTGGTTTAGAAATATGGTAAATACATAATTTAAGGGTATTATATAACTGTAGTAACTGAATTAAAGGTGACACATGACACAAACCTTTATTTCACATAATCATTCGACAAGTGATCGACATCGTTTTGTGCAGAGGCGACTGCTATGAAATCTATTCATGTTACCTCCACAACCGCTGTACGAGAAACCTTTGCAAGTCCTCGTTGTCATATCAAAGTACCACCTGTATAAAAAATATGTTTCAATAATACCAACATAAAAAGGAACAAAAGACATTAGAAATGAAGCTCAATTTTTGTAATAAAAACATACTCGATTTTCTCTCATCGTTCTCTTCTCTTAGAAAAAAATAGATTTTTGTACAGTTTGTCGGCAGTGGACGTACACAGTAATTTAGTTTACTAATAAGTTGTATGAAAAACATCGTAAACCCACATTTCGCCAGTGTGGTTGACTATAGTCTAGTTATCCGTAACTTGGATAGGCCTTTCGGTGATGATTTATACTGGCTGATGACGTCAGAATTTTACAGAATCCAAAAGGTATTATAAAGATAATTGGAAAAATTAAAAAAAAATAACTTACATAGGATGATAACTGTTACACACGCCAAAATCAGGTTGTAGTCTACAAGATATCTCAAATGGAAGTTTATAATCGATCGGGTCTAAACCTGACACTGAAAATAATTAAGTTTATCAGAAGAAAACATTTTACATTAAATGCGATGGAAATTTAACACTTATATTTTGTAACGGCAATAAAACACTTCACATAACAATTGCCATGTATTTTTCTGCAGGTTGATAAAAAGCATTTTACTATGGCTATTAGTTCGCCTGTCCTGGTCTAAACGTAGTTCAACTACAGGGATTTAATGAAAATAATTAGTCTACTCCAATTTGAAAAACACCAGCTATCAAAAGAGATTCTAATAAAATAATATACGTAAACTAGAAATAAAAGGGAAAAATCAAAGATACAAAAGTACATACGTCGACAAGTGCTGTGACATGCTTTTATAGATTTAAATTGATTAAGATTGTATTCACAATCATTGCCAAAGGAACCTGCTTTGCAATCCTCTAATTTAACATCATAATAATACCTGTAAATGTCATAATAGTATTACGAAGAAAATAATTAAAAGTGCAATTTGCTATAGTTATCTTAATTATACTTACCGTGGTATATTATAACCACTTTTATTACAGTCATATGCAATGGGCTGCAATTTACAAAGAACTTCGGGATTATAGAATATAAGATCTAAAACAATATACGATAAATTATAAATCATAATGTTGAGATGTATGGATGGAAGTTTATTTGAAAGTGTCTCCGGAACGGCTCAACGGATTTTGATAAAATTTGGCACACATATAGAACATAGTGTGGAATTAAAAAAACTTAACAAGTACGTGTACTTCCAGACTATGTTTTACATGTATGGTATACTAAATTTTCAACAAAGAAAATTTCATCAAAATTCGTTGACCCGTTCCGGCGGCATCCATCCACCCATACAACCAAATATTCGCATTTATTATATTAGTGAGACTATGCCAAATGTCATATAGATTCGATGTCATTGTTATCCTAGAATTATTCAAGGATTTAATAGAACAAAATATTAATAACAAACTTACCATTTATAGTTGTACTACGTGATGTTGTTGAACTAAAATTAAATTGTAGTTGACATTTTACTAAATCTAATAAAAATAAACTAATAACAAATTCTGCCTTTGGAAACATAAAGCCTTCTTGACTCCTTTGCATTGACAAGTAAATTGTAATCATTCGTGTTTGTAATTAATTTCATGCAAAATTAAAAACAATAATTCAATAACATAAAACATAATTAAATAAAAAATTCAGTTGAAAAGATTTTATTTATTTCCCGCATGACTAGCTAGTTTGCTTAGGTTTTCAATAGCTTCATTAATAATTTTCTTCTCGATTTCAGGAGTTATTGACTTTAAAACGTTGTCTAAAATCCAAGCACACATCCACTTCTGATGAATATTAGTTTCTACTCTTGTTAATTTAACATGATATTCCAAACGACGTTTGATACTATTATAAACGTGCATTAACCTTTCTCTATAATTTGCTTCAAGTTGCATTGCGACGTTTTCTTTTTTAGCCTCAATAAGTAACTTTTGTCCATTCGCTCTCAATTGTGCTGTTTTACCATTTTTAATTATAGTTTCGTATGTAGATTCTTCTTCTTTTCTAGCTGAATTATAACTTGCTTCTACTTTATCTACTTCTTTATCCAAGCTAGCAGCCGCCAGGGGACCGAGTTTTTTAGTACCATAACAAACAATAACAAGTACGGACAAACCAATATAATATTCATGCTCCATAACATATATTTCTTTACTAACCAAATAGTTTAAAAGCATAATACCAAAAAGATATGGTCCCGTGACTCCGGTTTTCGGATAGAAGAATACAAAAAACTCTTCAGGTACGAATCCAAGGCGTACTTTACCAGATTTTTCCGCTCGTTTGAGTGATCCATTTCCAGGTTTATCAAATTGCTTCATATATTCCGGACATGTTTCATTGTGTGTGCCAAAAACAACTTTGTGTGTTAAATATCGTGGTTTATATTTTAAAAGCATCAATCTTTGGATATTCATGACTGAATACTTATGATAATTAACGATCTTTTGTGACAACGAGTATGTTTACGTTTACTTTATAATATCTTACGAATTGTCAAATTATAATGTCATATATATGACATATCATATTTTTTTATATAAATGTTTAGTGCCAGTAAGAACTGAGTAACAATTAAACTTTATTTCGATGATATGATATACTAGCTGTCGCCCACAATTCCGTTCGCGCGGAATTAGAAACAATACTTAATAGGTAGAATATGTGTTATTCCAAGCTATGCCAAATTTCAGCGAAATTTATGCAGCCGATCTGGAGATACTAACAAACATCCATCCATCCATGCATTCTAACATTCGTATTTATATAATAATATTAGTAAGATTATTGTAGGTATATAGATATTTTTTTACATATCATTATACAGCTGTAGACTTCATAGGCTTGCGACGCCTTTAAATTGAAGGTGATACGGCCTCAAAATTAAACAGCTTTACTTTTACCCAAAGGTCATCTTGGTCAAGCGTGATCGGACTACCAAAATAATCGATTCTAAAAAAGTTATGTGTTAAAATTGTAGGAATATCAAGTCAATTAATGACAAAAGAATACCGTATCTACTAATGGTCATTTAGGTTTATTAAATGGTGACGTAACGAGGTACAGGCTTATGTTCATATGTTGCGAAAGTAAAACGGCTCCGTGACTTACTCGTCAGTATACGAGGACGGTGGCATCGCGCGGTCGCGTACATTTGTATTTTTAATTTAATCATTATCGTAATTTACTCTTACTGTTATACCAACCAGTGAATACAAGCAATAAGATTCAACGACGTCTCAAATTACATAGAAGACAATCAAAAATAGTAAGTAATAAAATCATTTTAAATCCACACTTTCACTAACTTATTTAATGTTTATTTTTTGTATAGAAAACTCAAGTATAATTTTTAAGAATGTATTAGATATTTCGAAGTTATAAAATAGGTCTCTTAACGGCACTATACAGTTTAATACAAAACACACGCGTCTTGCCCTCTAATGACCTGAGATATCTTACAAATGCTCCACAAGTCTGTCGTCAAATAGCACTAAGGGAAACAAAGGACATGGATTAAATCGATATAACGCAATCGACTTTTAAATAATTAAAAAAAAAACAAAATAACAACGAAATACTTACAGATACATATTATTTCATAAGCGCAATTTTAATGTAAGGTCAAGCTTTGAACCAAACTAGTATTTCCAGTTTGTTTGTAAATCTATATTGATTGATAAACAAACATACTCATAATGGAATTTGTCATAATTATCATTTCCCTGCTCATATCCCACTAATACGAGGTACAACTCGTTTTGGTCTAACAAATCGATATCGAAGAATTTGTATATATATTTTTTTAACAATGTAATATCCAAATAACCTAATCAATCCATTTAGCAGTAAGGAAAGAAATAATCTCAACGGATCAATTTTATGGTGAATTTAATAAAGCCATTAATTTAGACGAATAAAAAATTTCAACTCGCAACAGTACTTATTCTATCTAGAACGTTTCGTAATAACTTATGTAGAATCATTAAATTAATTAATCGTAAGTTATCAATTTATAATAGCCACGCGAGTGCTTTAAAAAGTAATAGGTATTTACTACACAGTTATCTATGTTGTCCCTATTCTAAAAATACTCACGATATTTGTTAAGAATTAAAGAAATACGCACCTGCTTAAATTATCAATGTTCAATTTTAATAACAATTACGATATTAATTTTTTTTATTTTTTTATTTTATAGTAAATGGCACTATGATCATCAGTAAATTTAATTAGAACAATCTAGTCTAGGTGATAAGAATTCCCAAAATAACATTTTACTAAGTTTAAAACACGCCGTAAATGATAAAAACAGGACATACCACGTAATACAAATTGTAGTTAATTGTGCAAGCACATTTTACTTTACACACTCGAAAATCATAAGTGGCTTAGTAGTATAATATTAATTGTAACAGAGTATATATCATATTATATCGTGGAAATGGGTTTTGTAGTCGCTAAATAGGTATTAATGGGAAAATCCACTTAAAAATATTATGGCATTATTAGTGTTATTTTAAGATATCACAAAAATCTGTTTCGATTACATAGTTTTACATTGTTCTTTTAGGATTAATCCGATGCCGTCAAGCAAAAAAATGGTAAAAGATATTAAAAAAGGTGGCATGGACGGCCTAATTGGTAAGTCCTCGTCTAAAAAGTCCAGTAACATTTTGGATTATGGGAAAAAACAGACGAACAAAGTTTCTGTTAAAACTACTACTATGAACCAGACAACGAAGAAAAGCACTACTGAAAACTTCCATGGCAAAATTGGTAGTACTGTTACTGCTACTAATCCAAAACAAAATAAAAATAATTTCGCGACTTCAGCTTCGACAAATAATGACAAGAAATATTCCACAAATATTTTTGGAGAAAAGGCGGGAAGTTCTAAAAATCATGGGCTTTCCACCTTAGTGTCACAACCAACACCAGTTGCAGATAAGAACTATGTTTCTTCTTATAAGGATGCTAAAAATAAAAAATCATCAATAACATTTGGAATAATATGGCTACCAACGAAAAGACGCAACAAGTTAAAAGATAACTTAAAAAATGTTGATGGACGGGACCGTTCCAAAGAAAGAACACCTTCAATGTATAACTTGTAAGTAGAATAATTATTTATTATTTTATTTGTCTTTAATTTCAAGTTTGATATCCCTATAAAAAAGCGACAAATTAAGCAACTTTCTACGTTTTGCAAATAAAATTTTTTTTAGCCGTATTGTAAGTACGGTAACAGAAATGTGACCAAAAAAAGTTAAATTTATCAAAGATGGCGTCAGCGTTATTCGTTTGACATCTGACATTTGTATTTTGTTAATTGACAACTTGTTTTTCACAAATTCGCATCTGCCGGGATACGAGTAAATAATAATAAAGCGTGTTATATTTTGATAACATACTACTAACTACCAGATTGTATATTCCGTGTTTCTTAAATTTACAAGGTGAGTAGCAAAAACCAAAATAATGATATGAATTAAAGAATTAGTTGATTTGTTTTATTGTTCTCTTTCAGAATTTCTGATCGTCCGATTGATAAAATTGAAACAAGTAAGGAGCGGGATCTATTCCCTTCTGGAACTCTGAAAATGGCGCCTCCAGTTTATTTTAGGGAAAATAATAGCGAACAATCTCTTGGTCTGAATCATTTGTATCACGAAAAATATGACGATCAACACGAACGTGAAGGAAATGTAAGTGAATAGATAGATATAAATGTAAGAGTAGGCGGTTAAAGTGATTCGGGGAGAAGTCACTGCGCAGCACGCAGTTAACCTTGACACTGAAAAGGTTGAACCGCCATTACGCAGTTTCAAAACTTATGCTGTTAATGTATTTGGATTAAATTGCATAAGTAATTTTTAAAGTGTAACAATCGAGTTTTTTTTATGTTAAACAGGAGGCTGGTGTCTCCAATACAAGTGTCAATGGTGCCAAAGAGGATATATCAAATGAAGAAACCAACACCAACAACAATCCGCAGTGCAAAGGTGAAGATGTTGTTGATAAAGTTAACATGATGCGTAGGCAATCACTATCGAAAGAACAAACTCCTGATTCCGGTACAGAAAAGGAGGAATGTATAGTTGTATGGCTTCATTATATGTTACAATGTAGTGATTGTTGTATCATGTAAATATATGAAATTTATTTCATATATTACACCCATATCAATGGTAAAACAATCAAGACGAGATCTTTAAAAAAAACACTATTTTACACCTTTTAATGTGGAAATTTGTAGTTGTAAAAATCGGCTTGTTTTATACAATGTTTGTATATATAATTCTTCTGTGAGTGTGTATGTCTGAACTTCTCTCAAATGACTGGACCGATTTTAATGAAATTTTTTGTGTGTGTTAAAGGGGACCTGGGAATGGTTTAGATTCACAATTTTCATCAAATATTAACTTCATATTAATTTATTCAAATTAAAGACACATAGACAGGACGTCTGTCGGGTCCGCTAGTATCAACATAAAGTTTTTTAGACATGATTATTAGCTTTTTTAAGCTTTTAAAATTTGTATTAATAAATTGTCATACTATGAAAGTTTAAACTGCTACATAGTAAACATACATGAGTGAGAGTCTAAGGAATCATGCTATTTTATTTACTTTAGAGGTTTCTCTCTTGCTCAAGTTTCTTCCTTAACGAGGCTGTCCAACGGGAAGGACAGTAACTCTTGATTATCCCAGTTTGAACATTAATTCGCAAAAAAGTTTTGTTGAAAATGAATGAGAGCTGTCACTATTAAGTGATGTTTTCAAAGTTGTATGAATATGAACCAGTGTATTTTGCATTTTTTCTAATATTACTCATAATTAAAAATAATATGATTATAGTCTGTATATATTCCAATTTTAGATGGAATATTTTTTTAAATATATAGATATCACGGCTCAATTATTTTTGTTACGCCTTCCAGTAAGAGTAATTTAATTTGAATTTTCTTGATTTCGATTTGATGATCACTTAGAAATGGTGATTTTAAGTGTAGTTTTTGTTTGCAACAGCCATCCATTTAAAGGTTTGTGTTTTATGTATTAATAATATATGCTTCCTTCCATTTCAATTGATATTGTGATAAATTAAACAGGGGAGTATCATAATTTGGTATGTGAAGATATTTTTGATAAATTTATTGCGAAACTCTTCTAGCTATGTATTTCTTTAGGATAAGGCAGTTATATTATTGATGAAATTAATGTCCTTTTTTAGTCTTTAAAGGTTCTTACATATATCTTCAGTATGATTTATGTTAAATTGCAATAAAACACTGTTTGGATTTTTTTTGTAACAGTTTCTCATATAAAATAATGTACTAAATGTAATTTCTATTGCTGATTATTTCATAGTGAATGTGTCAATTTGGTTGTGGCTTTCAAAATATGTTCAGATTATTTTAAGGAGATTAATCTTTGAGTTCCTAATACTCATATTTGTCAGATCTGTTTATTATCTTTAATGGTTTTTTTAAATATTTGAAAAGGAAATAAGGTTTAAGGTAAAGTAGTAATGCTCGCAAGAAGTCAGTCGTAATGAGTTTTAGCAGAAAATTGTCAAATACAATACATATTTCTCAAATGTTTCAATGTTCTCTTATGATACATGTTACTACTCTACATAATAAACTTATTTTCTTTTTAATAAATCCATTTAATTTTTAGTTTGCAATAACCTCAAATGGAATACTTTATAAGGATTTTACAATTATTTCTATAGTTTTTAATTTTAAATATAAGTATTTTATATTTTTGTAATAATTTCCAATTGGTGCATTTTTCTTTTTAATAAGCTCTGAATTAGAATGTAAAACATATTGGAAGATGGTCAAAGGCTGATTTTATTTCTATTCTGTGTTTTAGAATCGTATATACATTTAATGTTATGTATTTTTGTGGGAACATATTATATTTTATAAGTTGAAATAAAAATATTTTGCATATTTTGTTGATAACATGATTCCGAAGATTGCAAATTGTTTTTATCTCGATGTTTTTGTACATTGGTTACACATCTTTTAAATTTCTCAGTACAATGTCAGTATTAGTTGTTTTAAAATTGGAACAACTAGTGTATATGTTTTTGATTGCTTGTAATTGGTTGAAATTACATTTGAGGCGGACAATGGTATCTTTTAATTTGTACTATGTTGCTTGAAATGTTTGAAGTATTATAATCGGTAGGTATTTTCATGAATAATCTTATAATTCTTAGTGAGAAATAAATTTTCTTTGTGATATTTGAGTCTCAAAATTTTTCATATTTTATATTGATTAAATTTAATAAATAGAAATTTTTGTTTTTTATTTTGTAATTAGTTGTCTCCTGCGACTACGTACGCGTAGAAATAAAAAACAAAACAATTAGTAACCTATGGGTTCTTCCAGATTCTGTTCTATATGTATGCCATATTTCATCGAGATCCATTCACTTGTTCCGGAGATACCTTCAAACAAACATCCATCCATCGATATAAACACTCGAATTTATAATATTAGTAAGACAACTTTTCTTTCTTTAATCCATATCACAATCTACCAAAACATTTATAATTTAAGGGCGATCAAGACAGTTTTTGTCAATGCACTTCTCAGCGAAGGATTCTTTGCATATAATGTATTTATCAAAGACCTAAAAACGATTTCATAATTTGAGGACAATGTTAGGTATAATAAAACAAATACATGATTCCAATAAACTTTATTATAGTGAATATTTTAAACACAGTGGACTTGAAGTACCACGTTATATATGTATTAAAGACTAAACAAGATCCTTAATCACATAATACTTTGCGAAAGATGTCATTCGTCATCAAATGAACTTGCAACATAACAATAAACACTACGAAAACATAACTTTTTTTGGGTAATTATTTCATATAGCATTAATAGTTTCTAGGGTAACCTTAAAACATGGAATTGTAAAATAAACTCTAATACAGTCTTAGAGTAAAGTCAATCACACATGTTCAGTTGTAAATGCACAAACTGAACTACACATTAAGTGTAAGTTGACATTTACATTTGGTTCCGCTGTTCAGTTAAGACTATGTATTTAAAACTGAATGTGTGTGGCTGGCTATGGTAGGCGGTATTTAATTGTATATTTTTTGTTTAATATTGTTATAATTGTTAAAATATTCTTTTTTTATATGGCATCTTGATTCAGACTTTTAGTTTCCACATAGTAGTTTATAAATATATTGATTAAATTAAATTAAATTAAAAAATCATAAACTTAAAAATAAAATTTGTATAAGTTTTTTGAGCAAAGTTATCACTAGTTTGTATATAGGTTAAACTTATAATAAAATAAAAAAAACTAAAAAATAATTAACGAAAAAATAAGTCTTTATGTTTCGCTGAGCTTTGTTCATCAAGAACATATCACAAATTCAAGTCTATTGTTCTATAACTTCTCTCTAAATGTAATATTTAATAATAAATAATATAATCAAACTAATTATAATATGTACTAAAGTAAATAAAAAAAATTGAGAATTTCTTGTGATTTGTTACCAGTCTTATAACAGTCTTACCATAATGACTATACCCTTTGGCTTGTGTAGTACATAGTATAATGTGAAATGATTTGAAATGTATATAATTTTAAGGTAATAACACTTACAACTATAATAATTGAGTTATTAATTAAAAAATAAAGTAAATCATTATAAATAATAATAATAAATTATTAGAAAAGAAATAAATTATTATAAATGAAATAAATTGCAAAAATTGCAGTAAAAGTCCTAATTATGAACTGATTTTTCACTAAACTATCACAGTCGGTATTACAATCTTCTTGTAATGTGTACTAATATGAATGTAACAAACTAATAACGAAAAATTGTCAAAACATTTGGATTCAACTCATACGGTTACTAGTGGTTTGGTAGATCAACTACCAATATTCAAATAGCCAAATCAGTAAACCAACATCTTAAGTTGAACAATGCTAAACTGATGTATTAAGGGCCTAATAGAAAAGCAGACATCTTAGAAACCATGCACATAGAGAGGAAGCTCCATTCTCTACAGCTCTGACCACAGGTTGCTTGAGGCAATGTATACCGCAGCCTGTGGTGTACTACTTTTTATATAAATATATATCAATATACCGAATAAATGCAACAACAAACTTAATTACTAAAAAAAACATAATGGTTTGATAGCACAAAATATTAAATGCTGAATGTGTCCTTCTTTGAGGTTAGATTTTTGGTCAAAAAAAACAAAGTAAGTCTTACAACATTGTCAGTAAAGCAGCATACCTTGATGTTGCATCTGTCATACATTAACAATCTAAATATATATTATACACTGCGCAGATAACCCTACTAGAAACAAATTCCGCGAACTGTTTAATTATACAGGAACAAAGCGTCGAAATATAACTATATATGAATTAATCCTTGTCTTGACACTACGACAATCAATATAATTCATAAATCTACACAATTACATTATGTGTAGATTAAAAACTATCTAAATTAAAGAACATTAACAATATCAATGAAATCTTAGAAATAAGAATGCTACTTAAGCATCAAATAATCCATATAAGAATGTACTCCATGTGTTTTTAGTAGATGAGATGGGCTGAGAAGTATCAGTTGCTATTGATGGCTGGTTGAAGCATTTATTCTGCGGCCGAGCTCCCATTCGGTTCCGGATCTGATTTAGATTTTCGGCTTAATATAAATAGCAAGTGAGATAAGGAAAAAATTGGTTCAGTGGTTTTTGTGTGAAAGGACAGACAGACAGTTACTTTGGCATTTATAATATTAAGTAAGGATAGAGGAAATAAAAATAAACTAAGAAATGTACCTTCATCATCCATGTCCATATCTGATGGTCCATCACCGGATGCCTCACTCTCCGAGTATTCATCTTCATCATCAATATCAGCATACGCAATTGACTGATAGATTTTGCATATACAGAGCACAGCGGAGAATAAGCATATTATGATGGTGGAGTCTACATAAGTACAGTAGTTTAGAAGTTCATCCACGAGATCACCTGAAATAATTTTAAAGATATAATATTCAGAAGATTGCAGAGAATTGAAATTTTTTGATTTGTAATAAGTAAAGCTTACCTCCCATAAACCTGACAGAGATTGCAATGGAAACCAAGACTGTGATAATGAGGTTGTTGAATCGTCGTTGACGTCTCAGAGCTGTAAGATTAGAAATACAGATATGAAACATTACTGTTCTTGTACCAGACCATAGCCAGCCAGATTCCACAATGGTTCAAATATAGTTGACAAGGAATGGGAAATTATAAAACAGTGGAATAATTTCCTGAAATTAAGCAAAAATTACGATACGATGGTAACGTACCTGCTCTTCGTCCACGAGCTCTAAAGCGGAATTCTGTAATTATGCGCTCCAACTCCTGATTTAGTAAAAATAAAATTCATTAGTTACTTTATATCTTTTTCGTAAATACAATATTACAAAATCATTTCTCCGCAAAATAGTAATTTCAGCTCAGTTTGTGCATGTCATGTAAAACTATTGTTATTACTATGCAGTGAAATAATAAATTTTTTAAACTTGGTTAACAGCAAAACATGAAGGATATCTCATGTTTTGTTATATCATTCAAAAGTTGCCAGCTATTGAACCTTGAATAGCTTCAATTATGTTAAGGTAAAAATCCAATATTCTATAATATAATTGTAACATACCTCAAAGTCTTCATTAAGGGAAATGTCCGATTCAGTGTCCCCATCCACATTATCTTCGCTAACATCATCTTCTGTATCTAATTGTTGGTCTATATCAGACTGTCCTTGTTCTTCCGAAGTCGACTCTGGTTCTTCCAATATTGTCTCTAAACGGCGTACCATATTGTACTGATATAGGGCACTTGGACGCTTAAATAAGGATGTCACATTGTGACATTGTTGATCCTCCTGACCCTCAGTATTTTCATCCTCCACCTCATCAGGGTTTTGCATTTCTACCATATCCTGTTGCATATTATTCTCCATCTCACCATGATATTCATCGAACTTTACTTTTGCGGCAAACTTCTTTTTCAGTCTTTCTGAAACCTTGGGCCCAATTGGGCCTGTTAAATCTTCCAGAGAATATACTTCTCTGTCGAAATCACCAATGGGATTGTGAGTTAACAACAAATTCAGTTGCCTGATCAATCTCTGCCTATATTCAAGTTGTTGAGCTGCCATACACTTCAGTGACTTTTCAAACTTGAGTTTTTGTAGTTTGGCAAGCTCAAGCTTCAACCCGTTTCCCATACCAGGTTCATCTAGTGTAAAGTTAACAGGAACATGTTCTTCCCTGGATTCTTCAATTTCATCTGGTACTTGCAATTCAGGCGCATCTGGTGGTTGTTCTTCCTCATGCTCCTCAGCTTGCAAGCCTGTCGGCTCTGATGTTACTGTTGCATCAGTAGTACTTGTTGCAACCTGTATAAAATATTAAATACACATTCAATGTCATTACAACATAAAAATCAATAAAAATATATTATATAGATACGTACACTATTTTCTTCCATTGGTGTTGGAGGTGTTTCATCTGATTCCTCTTCAGAGCTACAATAAAAGTGAAATAATTAAAAAAAAATTGAAATGATAGGCGCAAATCGATCAATCAATATATCACAAACGACGGGCGGGGCTACAATGACATCTTCGTTTAAAATCACTGTAGCGATGGAATTACGTTAGCAATTTATTATACCGTGCTATTGGTTTACCTCGTATTAAATATATCATGTTGACCCTTATCATAATAACACCGCCACTTATTTTGCAGTTTGGAATATTTTGCACGATCCATTGTAGTTTTACACGAAATCGAAACTTGTAAATAGAGAGCTTAAAAGTCCCGATAAATTGTGCTTATCTGTTATGTGCGTAGTGATAGCGGTTATATTGATTTAACTGGATTTAACTTTAAAAAAAATGGGGGCTGGATGTATTGGAAATAGGGAATAAGCAAGGAACAGGATGTGTGCAAACAGTGGAAAATGGAAAAGGAATGACTGGCGTCTTTTTCAATGTCATGGCCAATTTTCAGTGTTGTTTGACAAAGAGCATGTAAAATTGTCTTTGATAAGTACACATTCTTTTTCACTATGGTACATTTCTTTTACAGGGTGTACGGGAAAGATGTGCACAATGGATTTTTTTGTGACTGAGTAGTCACTGTTTGCCTTGAAGAGGCATTTACAGCTTTTTCTTCAGCGCTTAGCCTGAACCTCGTTTAAGAGTAACAAGACTCGAAGGCTCCCCCAGGAGCCTCGGCTCGGGCTGTTACTTCGTTATTGTTACCGGATTGGGAGGTCACCGAGCTCTTAGAGCGCTTAGGTATAGGCTTCATCAAGTGACTGGCCCCCGAGAGGGGACCTCGGCTTGGTCTGTCACTCATTACGCGTTTAGCATTCCGATTCAAGGGTGCCCGAGAGGGCCGTCCCTCGGCTTGATCGGTTGCTATTAATATGTACATTACTACCACTTCGGAGAGCGTTATCGCTGGGAGAAGAAGTGGCGGAAGAAACACCAGCAACGCTTGTATTATTAATAGGAGAAAATCTTCCTGCTATGAGGCCGTTTCGCGAGAATGATTGCTGCAGCCGACAGCGACTGCGGTCAAAATAACGTCGCGACGCTAACATCAGGTGCTGGGCGATGGTGGGCAAGTCCAAGTCTATATGATGATCACTGTTGCGCATGTACCACGGGGCTCCCGTGGCTCTGCGCAAGAATCTATTCTGAATCACCTGAAGTCGATGTATTTGTTTCGGAGCTATGTGCGCAAATACCGGACTAGCATTCGTCATGACGGGACGCACTATTAACCCAACTTACCTCTATTCAAAATTACCTCGTTTGGCCCCTAAAGGCCCCTTTAAACTTTGCAAATTATTTTACATTTATTCAAATATCTTAAAAACTCTTACATAGATTTTGGTCATATTGAAACACAGTTTTTGTTTCATAAACTACACCTCTGTTCTCTGATAAGATTTTGATTGAGCCAGCGGTTTTGACACAAAATACGTTTTTCTAAAAACTTATGCGTTTAATTCTTTAACATGAACAATAAGTTATATAGAGTATAGTAAATTTAGATAAAATTTCTAGTACCGATATCTAGTAGTACCAGAGTTAAGTGATATGTACTTCGTAAACATAATCGTAAACAAATCAAAATTTTACCACAGAACAAATATCTTAGTAATAAATTTCTATCTAACAAAAAAAGTAAGTATGAATTATGCAGATGGTTATAAGTTTGTGATTGACCATAGTTCAGATATTCGTATTTGCGAGCCCCCTGTAAGTATGACAAAGGTATGTTTTACAAAAATGTGTAGTTTATGTAAGAAAAACTGTGTTTTTAATATGAATAAAATCTATGTAAGATTTTTTGAGATTATTAAACTATGATTATTGTAGCAGTATTCAGGTATCCAGACCAAAGACTGAAATGTTGCCATAACTTTAAAAGGTGCCGTGAAGAAAACCTTTGTTATTTTTACTGTCACAGAACAACGTACAACCAAGCATTTTTCTTTTTCTTACTCATCTCTACTAATTCATAGAAGTTTTATACGTATTTAAATACACTTAATTAATGTACACATACATAAATATATTTAAAAAATAATTAAAGAAAAAAAAGCCATGTTAGTTTACTTTCAAATTTATTTATAACACTATTTTAAAACAACTCATTGTTGTTATTTTTAAAGTAAACATAATACCAATAAAATAATCAGTCGGTACATATAGCATTCTCACAATTTTATTAAGAATTAACATAAAATTATTCAAAATGAATATTTGTGAAGCTAAATAGGAGCTCTAGAATCTAGGGCTTCTAACAATAAGTTATAATCCTTCGTATCCTATAAAATACTTTAAATAACTCCATTCTCATAACGTAGATTCAAAAATAATTTTAATACATTACGCCATTGCTAAAGCAAGCGGTCATTTAATTAAGAGAAAGATATTATCTTTTTCTGTCAGTAAATGATATAAAACCTCACGCTAGATTGGCCAACTTCTTCGAAAAGGTTGGGTATAGAATGGGCTTTTTATACATGATTACATAAACAACATGATGGGTATTCTCTTATGAGGCAGTGCCTATTTTCTTTTGCCAACATAGAGGAGCATAGCACCGTTTCTTCTTTCTTAATTATTTTACTAATTGTATTATTAGCAACATATTTTATTTAGCTTGTATCATTTGATAAACTTATATAAAAAACGGCTAAACACTCACGTATATTCTTTCGATAGCGGCCCCGACTAGTTTCGAGCCCATCGGGGGCCCTTCATCGGGGTGAGTGGGACTGGTATTATTTCTGGGACGCGGCCCGTCGCTCATGACGCTGTTTGAAGAGCTTGAAGTCAGTCGGTGCCGCTAATGGACGAATATACATGAGTGTTTAGCCGTTTGTATATAAGTTTATTATAATGTCTCAGGAAAGTTTGAAGTTAATAGTATCATTTGTGTAACAAACCTTAACGCCATAGTATAGATTGAATTAAGTTCCTGTAGCACTCGGTTCAAGCATTCTTATGTTGTATCCTTAACATTTTCCAGTTTCTTAATCTAAATTACCTACTAGTTTTCGCTTACTTTAGTTCTTCACTACAAGTAATTATAGTGTAGACAGTCTTACTAACAAGTAGCAGAATAACTAATTATACTTAATTAAAAAAAGATACGATAATTTCTCAGTTTTTTAATTAATCCTTACGATGTGTGCTATCAACACTTTTGTTAAAAAAGGATGGCACTAACATTAATAGAGCCTAGAAACGAAAGAACTGTATTTTACTTTTGATCATTATTATTATTTTAAAAATATAAACTGATATTATATTTAAGTCTAATAGGCGTAAGTACCCGATATCGAAATATTTGGTCGCTGTATGCCATTCAACCTTAATTATATTATAACTAAACTAAGAAATAACCTAGAAATGCATTTGATTTGTTCATGTGATTAAAAATTATTATATTATCTTAATTCTATTCATTGATTCTACTAAGCATTTTAATTATAAAAGGCAATGGAATGTATACAAGGTAGATTAAAAATCTTTACAAAATAGTAGGAAAATAATCGTATGGACGGATTAAAGTAGCCATATGTTTATTAATAATTAAAAAATCGTCTTGTCTTAAATGTATCTAACTCTGTGGTCTTTTTTGATGCTTAACTATGAATAGTAGTTCATTGACATGATATTTTTAGATGCCTTAATATTTTTATAAGTTTCTTACATCTAGAAATAATCAGTCTGCATTCTATGCTTAATTTTAACAATTATTAAAAATGGAAAAGTTGGAAAACGATTTAAGGGCAGAGCATGGCTTCTCGTATGAAATATTTAGCTCACGTATTACAAACAAACTTGTTCGAAGTTGGATTTCATTATCCATACAACTAATAACTGAGACACCATTTGCAATGTTTGATAAAATCTGTCGCATGATAATATTTAGGAAAAAAACATTTAATTTGGTTGAGAATAACTGATATGTTTTTTCTATTTGTGTGCACCGAAATGAAAATAATAAAATCTATATTGATAGCTATAAAATTTTAAATAGAGCGTACGAAACACCTAATTTAAAGTGAAGTATGCTTATTCATCAGAACTTTTCTCCTTGTAAAGCGTAGGAACATGAAGCGTCTTTTCTTCTTAGCACCCATTTGGAGAAGGAGGTTCCTAGCTTCAGCCAGGGTACCAGGGTCAGCACCTTCTTCCACTCCGGAGACGAAACCACTCTCTGGTCTTGATAGAGCCGGTGCAGTGTTAGGAAGCAGTGAAAACCAACGGTCAATCTTCGCACTCGAAGACAACTGACATAAAAAAAACTGAACGTTAGCTACTACAATCAAAGAAGGGTAAGCCGGCGAGAGTGGCGCTACTATCGCAAGTTCTGTCAGAATATATAAAAAAACTACTTAAGCATAGAAAATGACGTAAAAGAAATAAACGACATGACAGCTTAAATATGTTTTGCTTCGTTCCGATTTATAATAAATGCGTCTGTTGATGTTATGTGGCAGTTAACTTTATCTATATTATTAGTTCCAAACCACACCACCGCAGTAAATCGCTACAATCAGCGCCAATATGGCGAAAATCAAAGAGGCACAAAATTCTTTGTCTTACAGCCAGTTAATTTATAGAGGTCAGTGCTGCGACAGACAGAGGGCGCTAATAAGCTATTATAATAATATTTTAACTTATGCCCACCGGTTCAGATGCCTTGTCGGTCTATACTTACTACATACAATTTTCAAAAAGAACGAAATAAGAGCAATGTTTTTTGCACAGGTATTTTGTCTATGAACAAACACATCAAGAGAATGTACACGGGATATCTTTTTAGCTTATGCTACTTCGTTGACTTTTGTCTTTTACTGTGACGTGGACACGGCTTTCTAACGATGACTGGGTTTGGAACCTGATAAATGATGAGAGATATCCATCACAAAACGAAGTGTAGTAGCGCTTAAAATTCTGAATATTTGAGGTTGGCGAATAATAGAAAACTTGTTGGAAATATTCCTATAATCTTATTTCTAATGGATAAACAAATGAAACATCAATATTCATCACGTCTACGTCTTTATTTAAGTCCTGATTTCCACATTGAGATTGAATGAAACTGTCTACTACAATAATCGATTATATTAGTCCAATAATATTTGAATATGTCATAAATTTTTAAACATTAAACTCCAATACTGTTGACTGACAATCTACATAAGTTCCTTGGATCAAGTCTATGTCCCATACTGATGTTTACGCTTTGATTATGTCAGCCTTCATTCCTTAATCTACTCATCTAAATACAAGATTACATATATATTGTAAACAGACACTGATTACCGTATATTTGAATATTCATATCATTAATATTTTTAAGAACATTAATAAATCTTTCACTAATTTTTAACTATTGTGATCTACAAGTCAAACAACGAGAAAGTTAACGTGTGTTTCCACTGAAGAAGCACGTATAAAAACTGTACGGTTATGTCATTTTTTCGAACAGAATTCAGATATGTTTTTATACAAATGCTTCGTCAGTGGAAACTGGTAATTGATTAGAATATAATAGTATATAATATAACTGTATATTCGCAAGAGAATCAAGCTGTATTTTTTTAAATCCTAACAATTATTTCTATGATTATATTCTTGACATAACATTAACAACAACTAGTATTCAATATTATATTCATATAAAGTTCATTAAATCAGATTGAATAAAGTAACCAGAAATCATTAGATTAACAAACAAATGAATCATCAATTTTCAAATTATATTTTGAGTTTCCACTGCCATAATACCAGCACAAAACATATTGTCATCCCGCTCAGACAGACAACAAATTGTTTTTATACAGATGTTTAGTCAGTGCAAACTCACTGTTATACTTGCATTCAGAATAATATAACGATAGCATAATTTAATTTAAACGAAGGAAAAAAATATGTCGAATGTGAATAAATAAGAGACAAAATAAAGGTCTTGAAAAATAAAAAAAATACGGACGAATTGAAGTCGGCAAATAAAATCAAAGAAAAATAGATAAACTGATATATAAACACGGCTAAACACTCACGTATATTCGTTCGGTGGCGGCACCGACTAGTTTCGAGCCCATAGGAGGCCCTTCATCAGGATGAGTGGTACTGGTATTATTTCGCGCACGCGGCCCGTCGCTCACTGCGCGTCTGCGCTCTTTGGGCGCGTCTTGAGGGGCGGGGGGCGCGGGTTGCGCCGGCGTCGTTAATGATGAAACTTCAAGAACAACACCACCGACGCTTTGGTACCAACATCGTCGACGACGCCGGCGCAACCCGCGCCCCCCGCCTCCTCAAGACGCGCCATAAGAGCGCAGGCGCGCAGTGAGCGACGGGCCGCGTGCGCGAAATAATACCAGTACCACATCCTGATGAAGGGCCCCCGATGGGCTCGAAACTAGTCGGTGCCGCCACCGGACGGATATACGTGAGTGTTAAGCCGTTTTTATATCAGTTTAGTATAATGTCTCACGAAAGTTTGATTAATTTCAGATAAATAGATGTTTAAAATTGTAGGCTTTTATAATAATGAATTGTAACATGAATGCATTTATTACTACATATAAGCAGACAACTATTTCTATATTTTAACGATGGCTATTGCAAAAATTGATCAAGCATTTTGTAATTTCTACTTCCACATTGATAAATATTTTTCTATTTTACTATTATGATTTTAAAGTGACTAACAATTAATTCGAAAAACATCCAGATATTCAAAAAAATTTTTTTTTGGATTTTTAATTTTTTTGTCCTTTAAATATGTAGATATCTATTAAATAATGCGTTCATCGTAGGTTTATCCTCTTTTCAAAGTGCATCTATCGATCGTATTTTCCGTTTCTGAGTTTTGTTTTCTTATAATTTCGATTTCATTGAGTCCGTTACTTTGTGAAATATAGTTAGGATTTCGAAATAGGTGAAAGTAGAGTTTTTTTTTTAACAATAGAATGTAAATAATTTGGCACGTATAAATATATATAGTTTTATACAAAATTTTGATATTAATAAGTCTTTTTTAATGTATACATATTCGAGAAGAATTGTAAAATATATTGTTATAGAAAATCGTGGTACAAAATGTTTGACCTGTACTCGAGAAATGTATTGTATATTTTGCATAAATTCCGGTAGGATATGATCTAGATATGTAGTGGAAAATGCACTTAAATAAATTATATGGATACGATGACTAGAAAGGTTTAATGGAAATAAAATAAACAATAAAACTATTTCAAGGAACGGCCATGTGTCAGTCGACAAACTATAATATTGGCACTTTTAAGTTTAACGTCCAAAGACGTATTTAAATAATTTAAAATCTATATAATAAGTTGTATAACTAGAATCTTTAATAACTAAAATAATTAAATAAGGTAGGTTTAGGTAACTTGACTCAAATGATCGATGTTTGTTTACTTAGTGGTGTGTCGCGTCCATTGGGCTCGGATGGCGGCCATGAGCTCGCTCTTGTTGGGCACCTTCTCGCTGGTGGAGCGCGTGATGGGCGCGGCGGCGGACTGGCCGGGCACCTGAAGCGAGGAGCCGGCGCTTGTGCCAGCGCTCGGGCCGGCGCTCTTCTTCTCCGGCACGTCATCAGCGCTCTCGGAGGGGCTCACGGGTACAATGAGCCGCACGCGTCCGTCCTCACCTGTCGCCTTCAGAGTTATGTTGTGCGACAGCGGCATAATGTAAGGCTGCCCATCCTCTGAGCTGGAATCCCCCGAGGAATCCTTAGAGCTCGAATCGGAGCTGCTGTCGGACGAATTCTGGGATACACCAATGCTCATAGCATGAGCCAGAGCGCTTATTTCCTCGCTGGAGCATGAGCCTTCCTGTGCGAGTTGAGTATTCAGAAGGGCCAATAAGTCGGAGTCGGTGAAATCCGACTTCAACAGCGGAATGTCGGGAAAGCCCTGGGTGTTCTGGTAGAACTCCTGATTGTTGTTGTCGCCCTGGTCATTCAGGAATTTCATGCTTTGGAACTTCTTGATGAGATAATCTTGTATCTCCTCGCTTGTCATGTTGGCAAGGTTGAGGTTCTCGTTGTTCTCACTGGGAGTAGGGCTGAACGGAGTGCGTGGCACGTTGTTGTTCTCGACGTTTTGATTTTGTGCCGTTTTGGTTCTTTGCGGAGCGTTAAAGTTGATGAGTGCATCATCCTCGCCTTCCTCGAGATTGCCGTTGCTCTCATCTTTGCCCCCATCGTTCGAGGCGATATCCTTCTGCACCAGGCAGCGTAAAGGAAAAAAAATATGATTTTAATATAAAATTATATAGTAAATAATTAATTGATATAAAACAATTAAAGCAAATTACTTAAAAAGCGAAAAAATAAAAACAAATCAACTTACATCGACCGAAAATTTGTTAACAAAAAATTAAGCATATTGGCAATCCAGTTTTATATTGCATCACAACACATATGAAAGTTTATACTAGGATTCATTTAACCGACAGCCGAATTGTTTATTTTCTGCCTCAAACCACTATTCAAACATTGATCACAATACATTTTAACTCAAGCAGTCGGTATAAAGATCCATAGTTCCATTCTTTCAGTAAACGATATCACACGGTTAAAACTAAAATCGTATAAACACGTAATCAAATCATGCATAAATACATAGCAACATGAAAAATAACGTAAATAAGATATAAATTGTTTCAAGGTAAATCAATTAAGTGTAAATATATTTAAACGAAACATATCAAACAGATTGCGAAGTACGTAAAGTTTTACAAAACTAAATCAAGTCCTCTGTTAAGTCGGTTTGAATGAAAATTTTAACGAAGTCGTAAGAACACCGACGTAGTTCGAGCAGCCTCGGTATAGTGGGGATAATTGTATTGATTATATTCAATTGCATTCCAGATTGCTTCGAGATTAAGTTTAACGAAGCGGATATTGAGTTAGAAAAGAACTAAAAATATATAACTAATCTGTGATATTCCTGTGATTGATTGGTTCTCTAAACTTTATTTCTAAATCGTTTGTCTTTAGACTGACTGAAAAAGAACACAATCGAAATTAATTTGTTTAATTAAGTATTACTTTGTAATATACTGATTTCGTCGTGCAAAAGCTCAAATTTATTTTAAAATTGCTGATATTAATTTGTAAATTGATCGTAACATAAAAGCATTAAGCTTACTGCATCCATTTCAATTGGTCACCAATACATCATTTTATATATTACAGTAAATTGATATTAATCAGCAAATGAGAAATACGACAACGTCAGTTATAGAATTATTTCTAAAGATACATTTCAATAGAAAATGTCACCAAAAGTCTCTAAAGATCGCGCACTTCAAGTAATTAAATGAAGACGTACGATCTACCGTGGAAAATGGAATTGTAAATCTAAAATATTAATAAGAATCGCACAGATTGTTGAATTTATGCTGCCGAAAATAATAAAATCAAAACAATAAAAACTGAAAAAAAGTCATAAACACAACGACATACATGCTTAAATAATAAAACTGTAAAAAGCTAGCAATAAATTGTCATGATGTATTTACCTGCGGCAACATAGTCAGCTGTTGAGCGCTGATTGGACGAGTCTCTTCCTTCTCATGCTCGTGAATATGAGACACAAGACTGGCAATGTGCTCAAGGAGCTCGTTGTTATGAATCAGTAGTTGGTGAGTACGAGCCTGTCAAAAAATAAAATTTACTCTTTAAAATAGAAACATGAATACTAACATCACAATATATGACTTTAAACGTAAGTAAGCAAGGAAATACATGTTATGTTGTTTATAATTTATATGTTAACAGGCAACCTTTTTACTAAAAAAATGTTGATTTTGAAAGTTACAAACAAAAGTCATTTTGATATATTTGATTTGCAAACTGCAATGTATTGGAATCAGTCAGCTTTTGTTGGTAATAATTGTTTAACTATTTTCGATTACATTGCTACTTAACACGAGAAAGGATGACTTAAATCGTTAAATAAAACTATTAACCTGAGCCTCGCAGCGTGCAGTTTGTTCGGCAGCAAGTTGGTCTTTCATTAGCGAGAGTTGGGCAACTGCTGCCTGAGTTTGCTGAGCCTGCTGCTCGAGTCTTTCGCGCAGGAGTTGAAGTTGGTGCTGAGCGCTCAGCGGAGTCTCCGGGTCGATCTCGGGCACGCTAGGCAACTCCACCTTAGTGACGCATTCCGGCAGGTCAGGTAGGTTGACCGTGAGCAATGGTGGGGCAGGCTGAAAATATATAATGGTTATGTAAACTCAAATTCGCAGCTTACAAAACGATTTCCACTAAGTATAATAGTTTATATTGCATATTGGCATCTTACAGGGTAAACATAAATTTACTTCATGTTCTCTCAAAAACAAAACTCGATAGTAATAACTCGCTCTATGTTACTAACTTTATATTGGGTATTATGTTAAATACAGTTAAAGGATTTCAATGACAGCAGTAACATTCGCATTTTATATAATATTACATTACATTATATAAGCATAATTTTAAGCACCTAGAGAATGACAGTTTGGAATAAAAAGTTAAGTCCATCGCGACGCCCAGCAATTGGTGCACTTTATGATATAGCCAGTTACTTGAAAAGAAAAAAAAGCTTAAAAAGTATCATCTGTTCTTTGAAGTATAATGCATTTTTTTTTTATTTTATCTTTAGACATAACATCCGTATGTAACTAATATTATAAATGCGAATATTTGAATGTATGGAATGATGTTTGTTGGAAGGTATCTACAGAACAGCTCAACAAAACCAGATGAAATTTAACATAAATGTTTATAGTAAGGAAGAACACATAGACTTCTCAGTTTCTAATTCTGCGCGAACGGAGTCGCATGCGATTGCTTATATTAATAAAATATAATTTAAATATCTAACTCATAAAATAAATATTTAGATCACCTTTCAAGAAAAAAAAGTCATGTAATTTTAAAGCTAAAATATGTAAGTAAATTACACATAGACCGTATATGTACATAAGTATAAAATCCAATCAACAGTATACCGAAGAATGCTAATTTCTCACTCGTAACACAATTTGAATAAGTTAATAATTTAAATGCAAGGAATTCATAATTTTTGTAATGCATAAATGCGACGGATTTTGTTGACACTAGTTGTATGTGATTGTAGAAGGGGTATAGTACGAATTTATTTGTGAAATGTTTTAACAGATTTAACGAATAATATACTGCTCTTTACATATGTACATTTATTCAAAGTTCTTACGGTGAAGGCAAACATCGTGATGCAACTGCCACATATCTGAGAAGGAATTCAAAGATATGTGTAAAGTCAACCAACTCGCATTGGGCCAGCGTGGTTGACTAAGGTCTAATCACCCTTAAATTAGGGTAGGCTCCGAGCCCCTCGGTGGGGACGTATAGTGAGCTGATGATAAAGATACTTCTTATGTTATTAAGTTTTACATTTTTTTCTTAAATATGTTGTAAATATTGTAAAAGTGTATTTATTATTTGTCAGACAATAAAAGCTTTATCTATTTATAATACTTTTTACAAAAGACGTGCCTCATTTTTTAGTTACTTAATTGAAGAAATTATTTAAAAAAAATTGTTAATAAACTTTAATATAATTGTGTAAACAAATTCATCACATAATCTAAGGTTTCATTTTAATAAATAAATAAAATAATTATGAAACATCGCACCTTTCTGTTCTTGGATTGTAATATTTTTCAATTTATCGTTCTTAATTGACTTTCAAAATACCCTCTCGAAATATACGCTCTATAAAATACATAATAACTTTCTTCCAAATAACCTTTGTTCCAAATAATCGTTCTAATTTAAATAATAATTTCCTCAGTGTTAGTACTCGAACACATTTTTAATCAACAATAAACTTATAAGACGGATTAAAAAAATTCTCCAATAAATTTATTTCGAATGTTAACACGACTGTATTTTCACTCTATTAATAAGCTAATAAATATAAATATGAAATGATTTTAATATACATTTTATTCAATTAATAGACGAAATTATTGAGAAGATGTAATTAGGTAATTATTATTATTCCTCATTATTGTTATAAAATAACTGTTTTGTATTATAGTGACTTAAATAGAATTAAACAGTGTCGTTAGTGTATTATATTTTGACGACCAGTTTCCACTGTCTTAACACATGTATAGCAACAATTTTCCGACAGTAAGGTAAGAATGAATTTCGTTGATAAAGCTTGAAGTTGGTCTTGTAAATACGTTGAAGGATCGTTGGATCGTATGTCTCATAAAGGAACTGAACTCCTATCTATAAGCGTGACTTGAGTTTTGAAAAATGTATTTCTAAGGCTCAAAGAAATTTAGTGATACAAGTCAAACTACTGCAGCATTACGTGTTCCTTCAGAACGGAAAGCAACGTACGTAGCTTACATAAAAGAATTGTGTTTTAGCGAAAGCTGGTAATGCCTGCTTAACCTCTACAGAGGATTGTTTATAATAGTGCCATATCTTACTAATATTATAAATCCGAATCTTTTGATGTATGTATAGATTGAAATCGATGTAATTTGGCAATCATATAGAATAAAGTCTGCAAGAACATCATTAAGTTTTGTTTTAATTTCTAGCAGGCAGAGTCGAGGGCGAATGCTACTGTTTTTCTAAATGCAAAAGGATGGTATTATTACTGACACAAATACAAGATAAAACATTAAATTCCCAGCAAGAATAGTTTCGATAAAAGTTGAATTTTTTTGAAATCGTATGTTTAATTTTTAATTTCTATTATTTCCGTTAATATTAGTCATTTTTCAATCCGTTTAGTACTTCTCGGTAATACCCAGTCATTGTTAGCATGATCTGGCGTATATCCATTCAACATTTCCATAGGTGCTTGAAAGCCAAAGTGGTAATAATAAACGGGGAGTGATAAAATTTCAAGAATATTCTAAAATTAGACGAAATCGGTCGATTCCCACGAAACGGCTTAATATAGATTTATGGTTTCTATAACTTCCGAATAATTTACAAATATAGATCTTTTTGTTTTACATATATATTGCTTTGATCTCGTTCAGGAATAATAAAAAATATACGTCATTCATAGTATCCAAATCTGTATATCTTATTGTGCTTTTAGGTCTCCTATGTTTTTTTTATATTTTTGCCCCTGTCTTTCTTTGTGATAATTTTAAATATCATAGTAGAAGCGTCATAGGAACTGCTTTTTTATAACAGAAGTGGGCAAACGAGTAGCAGGAACACCGTGATGTTCAACGATGCCCATGGACATCAGCAATATCAGAGGAACCGCAGATGCGTTGCCGGTTTTTGAGATGGTGATACGCTTGCTTCTTAAAGGACCCTAATTCGTATTGGTTATAAGTCGAATGGAAATACCGCCGAGGACAGACCGTTCCACAAGGCAGCTGTGTGAGGCCAAAAAGATTTTTTTTATAGGAGACGGGTGCAAACGAGCAACGAATCGCCTAAAGAAGATTATTTTAAGTATCATAGTAGTAGCGTCATAGGAACTGCTGGATCTAGATCGATCTTGCATACCAATGTTATTATATGTAGGATTTATTATATTGTAGATACTATGTGGGAGGGTGATTATTATGAGTGTTGTAGTCTATTTCCAATATTCCTTATTGTTTCTATTTTTACAACGTTTGTACAAATTACAGATGCCGTTCGATAACACGAAGTCGTTTGCGAATCATCAAGCCGAACGATTGACGATTCGCAAATAACATCAATACTACTATTTGTTTAGTTGTTTGTGGATATTATAAAGATCAAAGGCACATTGAGGGTCTGTGAATCGAATTCAATGTCATTAATTCTACAGTAATATAACGATATTTCGATGGTCAAACTACAAAAAACTTGTCGAGGTCCGACTTAACAAGAAGACTTAAGAATGCATTTTTATAGTTAAAATGTCTGAGAACAGAGAGAGTCTTCTCTGTTGACTTAGTGAGGTATGATTTATAGAGATTCTGTACTTCTTATAAGGATTCTAATAAAAATAATAATAACACAGTAAGAACATGTTATTAACATTGTAGAGTACGCAAGTTTTGAGGGTTATTACCAATAGTGTTTGTAAGCGATATCATATTGTTTATAAGTCCAAGTTATATGGCATTCAGTCGCTATGCGATATATGTTAAGCTATCTAATTTATTAATCCACTAGCTGTCGCCCGTGACTCCGTCCACGCGTAATTGAAAAAAAAAAACATAATTAAATCCCGGCAATTATTCGCATTTTTCTCACCCTTTAAAACTTCCCTAGACTTCCACGAACATTTCAAAATCAAGATAGTTAATCCGTTCAGCCGTTCTCAAGTTTTAGCGAGATCCACGAACAGCAATTGATTTAATTATTACCTGAGAGCGCTTTCCTCCCTCCTTTTTCGGCGGCGGCGGCAAGAGGTCCAGTTGTGTCGGACGCGCAGGTTGCTTGCCCTTCGATCCCTTATGGGCTTCGGTCTTGCCGGCCTTGGATGTCGATGCTCCCCCAGACACCGAAGCTCCAGATGTAGACGGTGCTTCTGATAACAATAGGAACGGTCTGATGATAACCTTTTAACTATAAATCTAATCTGAAATAAAAATATCGTAAATTAAGGTAAACAAATTTAAAAAAAGAATTCTGTATATGATCATAATTCTTCCAAAAGATTATGAATTAAAAAAAAAGAAACTAGAATCTTATATAATATTGTTTATAAATGGCCATACTTTAATGTGATAGAAGTATCTGGCGTTATATGTATTATATTTTATGAGTTATGTGTTTGACAGCTACGTAATTGCTTAATGGGTGATTGAGATCGCAATTAGAAGTATTATTCTGATAACGAATAGCGTAATCATTGTGAGGAATTATTAACGTTTTTATGGAAAATTATAGAGATTTATAGACTTTTATATATGTATTTAGACCTGGATATATCAGGACATTAATCCGATACAGTAGTTTGTAAGAGAATCATGAGTTTTCTTTATCTTTGTGTCCTTTTTTTATTATTTTGTGTTTGAAATCCAGATGTTTCTTTAGTTTTTAAACAGTTTTATCTTGTTAAATAGTGTTGTATTAATTCAAAAGGTTTAAAAGTATTTAAAGTTTTATTAAATGTGTGCAGGGTTGTAGCGAAAGTTTTGAAGAATTTAAATTTTATAAGAATTTGAAAACTTTTGGAAGCCGTCTCTCTGTTGGCAGTGGTAACGTTTGAGTTGCCAAGGATCAAATAGTTTACAAGTTAGGTGCCTACTGAGTGCTTATTTGTTGGCTGATATATTCCTTGTTTATTAAACTAATAATTTAAAGATTTTTATATCACAAAGTAATTTTATAAAGCACATTGAAAAATGTATTGACATCCTGATTTTAGTCCATTTGGTCTAGGTCATCTTAGGTTTCTGTTAGAGGCCCAAGATAGACCAACTCCACATGGAGAAAAAAAAGTATTGTTAGAAGGCATATACAATTTACTAATATTACAGACTGTAAAGTCACAATGTACGTAATAATTTTCATAATAGTTCCTAGAAAGCTTTAAAAATCAACATTGATTTTTTTTTCGGATATGACGTGAAATTCACGTTCTTATCATGAGTTTCCACTGCTGTAAGACTCAGACACACATTTCTCTTTCTAATAGCTTAGGTAACATTTTTTTCCTCAATGTAAATCTACGATTACTCGGTGAAAATCTATAATTTTTTACCTGAGCTACTGTTTACAGACGTATAACCGTCACATAGGTAATAAACGGTGACGCAGCCGACGTACCCAGCTGTTGCCGGTCGCGTTTTATGTCATAAAACAATACATAAAATCTAATTATAATCCTCTATATGATGCGGTGGAATATAGTTAAGATGTGGCGCTGTACCGTAAACATTGAGTCAGGTGGTTTGAGATGACCTAATTTTGTCACATTCAATATTATATATCGAATTACAAAGATATATCATCATGTATATTATATTCATTGTTTAGTGATGTGATTTTGTCATTAGTTAACTATTTTTTTTTAATAAAACGACTAGACCAGTCTTTCCCAAAGTGGCCATAACGCCCCCTGGTGGGCGCTGCAGGTGTTAAGGTAGGCGGTCAGAGACCCAGAAAGAAAATGGGGGCGTTGTGTAGAGGCCTGGGGGGTGATTTGTAATTTTATTTAGCTAGGAGGCCTCTTAGACAATGTCTGCATGAGCTCTCGACTCTCGACAACTTGTGAACGTGAACTAATATGAATTAAAAGATTGCTTAAGCTCTAATATGGGGGCGCTAAAAAATATTAATTCTCAAAGTGGGTAGTAGACAAAATAAGTTTGGGAATCACTGGACTAGACGATTAGTAGAGGTAACTAAAAGATAATAATCTTACTAATATTATAAATGCGAATGTCTAGATGGATAGATGGATGTTCGTTTGAAGGTATCTCCAGAACGGCGGAACGGAACATAGTCTGGAATTTTTTCCACACTGAATTGTTCACATAAGCAACTTAATATATTTTTGAGTCGCAGGCGACAGCTATTATAGTTATATGGCAGATTAGTTATTGTATGAAATTGGTGTTCTAAATTAGTGGTCTCTGCCTACCCTTCTTATTTACGGACGTTATGTTATTGGTGTTATAAACTGCTTCTTTTCGATATTTACGTTTTTATAGTGTTAACATGTCTAATAAGTGCATGATAATTGTTATTTATGACCAGCGTTGGTGTTAACTGACGGATAATTTATACGATCATTGATCATACGAGATAAGTGTGATAGATGTCTATCTTTCCGTAATATACTGTAGTATTTGGCACAAGAATTTAGCGGCAATTTCGCGGTCAGATTATACCACGCAGAGTGTAGAGATGGCAACACCATCTTATGACTTTATTTTGAAAATCATGTCATTAACAAGCTTGTCAACTCTAGTGTGTTAGTAAACTTAAATTAGTTTTCTAAATTGAGCGTCAATAGCCTTATGGTTAAGAGTACGGATTTCCGATCGCGAGGTCGGGAGTTTGAATACCACCATTCTACTGTCGTAAACACCACAAGCATAGCTCTTAATTGGAATGGTACAAGAAATATTAGTAAATTTATAAAAATCTGCTAATATTTTTATAAATGAATAAAATATTACTATGTTTTGTGACTGTATAAGTATAAGGAAGATAATATTTTCATCTCAGAAGAATTTTATCTTTCCGATTTTCGAATGTTGGCAATTATAAAGAAAGATTTCTGTTTATAGTATTTGTAGTTAAGTTTTGTCTAAGATAATAAGTGTCCTTAAGATTTGATTAATCACATCACAACATTTCATTGTGCCTTTCGGTAAATAAAAATTTTAAAAATGCCAGTCAATCTACTTTTAAAATACATTGATACATATTGACTTTTGACCATTTAAATAGCTTAATTTTAAAATCCATTTCAATAGTACCGCACAGCCGATTTATTAATAATTTATTTGTGTATTTGCATCACTGACATTTCCCGAAAAGCTTCACGTGTTTATATTAATAAATAAAACATTAATATTTCACAATTCAATCGTAAAACGCCAGCAAAATCGCGTGTCGCCAGCAAATATTGGTTAAATCGCAAAAGAGCGGTTCACATTGAAAAATATTAACTTTGGCACAAGCACTTTATAGCATTGCAACATATTAATACAATATAGGAAATATCAAAGTTAAAACACGATGAAAATTAAAAAAAAATCGCATAGCTTGACATCAAGCATTATTAGTATGAACACATTTTATATAATGCAGGTTTTTATCCAAACCTTTGGATGTCTTTCCGGATCTTCCGGAGGTGCTGGGCACGGCCATGTCTGCGGCAGACGAGGTCGACGGCGCCTGGTTGTCAGGGCTTCTAATCTTCATCTTGTGGCACACCTCGAAAGCTTGGCCAACGGTGCGCACAATCCTCATGGCCTGGTTCTGCGAAGAAAATAAAGTTTAAAACAGTTCTTTTTAAGCTTAATAATATTATAAATACGAATGTTTGGAAGAATATATTTTTATTAGAGAGTATCTGCAGATTTGCACAACCGATCTCGAAGAAATTTGGCATATACGTAAAACATAGTAATTAGCCCTTTTCAATACCGTTATGGCACTTCGGATAAAAGACAAATATGATAACTGGTTATTGAAAAACGACTCAGCTATTTACAGAAGGTATCAACGGTCATAAGACATAAAATCCTACACAAAATATAAACCTTTTATCAATCGGGAAAAAGTTGAATCATTCCGGTTTCCGACTTTTTACCAAGCGGAGGAATAGTTGAAAAATATATTTATAAATCTATTTTGGTATTGGAACTCGTAGTGATAAGAATATGTATAACAAGACCAAGGTATTTAGAATACAAAGTAACAGAAAATATATACATGCATTGCTTTCTAAATGACCTCACTCGGAACGAAAATCGAAAAAAATATTACATTTTCAACTAACTAACAAATAACATTTTACATGTTTTTGGGATGACACAACAAAGTGACATACAAAACCGCATACCTTGCCGCGCCTGTTGAAATGTAACATTTGTTCCCCTTTCGCTAATGGATTGTCAGAATTGTTTGTAACCCGATAAATAATCTTTTTACAATAAATAAACTAGCGCTTAACCCATCCTATCACACAATGTTACGTGCTGATGGACGAAAGGAAGTACATCCCTGGCTTAGTAAATGCATTTTACCAAACTCTTGGAGACGTATAATTATAGTTGGTCGGAATATTGAAAAATTTTAAACCATCAATTCTATCAATAAGTTATGGTAACTAAGTAAATATGAGTATTGTATATACTATGACTATCTTTGTAAATAATACATAAGGGTGTCTTGATTATGTTTAAGAAAAATATGTAGTTAAGATTGGAATGGACTCTGTTTGCAATAGCAATTCATAGAGTTATCTAGCGGAAAAAAATTAATAGTAATTTATTTCAACCGAGCTCTTCTTAAAAAATGCTGGTAGTCGTAAGATGATATCATTTAATCTAAGTTTAGATTTAAAAAATCTTTATGTATTTAGAAATAAATTACACAAATAAATTAAATTAAGTATACACAAATTAATGTTTGCAAAGATCAATATGATAAGGTTTGTGTATTTCTCGGAATCGAACAGTAGAACGTATTTCAAGCAATTGCACATGAAGAAAAATGTCTGCAGAGCTGAAGTTTTCGCGGGAGATTAAGCCAAATGGGCCACCGAAGACTTTCCATCTTTTGTTTTGATTGTAAAGAATAAAATGCATTATGCTAAAGTATTTTATAAAAAAAAAATTCAAGCTGATTTTTTTTTGTTTCACATTATTAAATAATGTTAAAACTCTTATGGAAAAAATTTCATGATATAAAACAAGAATACAAAAAGCTACTAAAACTCCTGTATCCTTGAATTGAACTAAGCCAGGGTATAAGGCTTTCAGCCTTTGACTAATCAAGCTCTTGCTCCGATCGAAGTAGAACAAAAAAATTGCATTAATGCACTCCGGAATACTTCTGAAGAACATAATCAAAGCAGGTTGCACTCAGGTAAGTAATAGCATTACGACTAGTAGAGTTCAGTAAGACTTAAATATACCTCACTTATTGAATCTAAGCCTTTTTTCTTAAATTGAATTACGTTGTTACATTTCAAAGCATTTTTACATAAATATTCGTCTTTTTATATTTGAGTCTTGCTGAACTCTATATGCATTGGAATGCTTTAAAACTCCAAAAATCTAAGTAATCAAAATATCATACTACAAGTTCATTTAAAACCAAATTATTACTTTTATATTTAGATTTTTAGGGCACAAACCTTATCTGAAGTCCTACGCCCATTCTTCAACATTTTCAACAAACCCTGTCCAGTGGTTTAGGAACGCGTAAGGAACAAATATAACATATTAGTTTAATATTCATTATAATTCGGTTTGATGGATTATTACATATTCAATACTTAGCTGTGTATTCTTTGTCGTTTTTCAAAGCGATATCGCATGTTTTATTTAGTTCACTTAGCTAGGGAAAAGCTTTTAATACGTACAACCTCGTCAATGTAACTTCGAAATAACGTCAACCTTGCTAATGGAATTAAAAAACCCTCTGAATAACAAAATCTCGATGAAGCGAAACGAGCGAACATAGTTTTTAATTGGATTTTTTATGATATGCCAGACATTTTTGCGCGAAGTATAATTATCGATTTTAACTATTGAACATTCGTTGAATACCCGTCATTTTCAACCGTAGTTATATATGTATGAAAAAATTTACTATCTTTTTTTTACTATTACCGTACCATAACATACCTTTAAAGTAACGGGGGAAGATTTTTCATTTGTGGTGATCGTAGCATACCACCCTGTATTCTCCTACATCCATACAACTAAACACGTTGTTAGATACATACTGTATATCGCCATTCCTTGTAACTTAGCTGTTCCAGTACAGTAAAATTAACAACTAAGAAGACAACTCAAAAACGTGTCATATGAATGTAACTAGCTGTCGCCCGCGACTCCGTCTGCGCGGAATTAAAAAAAAACTATTGATCGCGACGTAATGCCATATAATCTACAGACTTCCTCTATAAATGGATTATCCAACAAAAAAAGAATTTTTCAGATCCAACCAGTAGTTCCTGTGATTAGCGCGTTTAAACAAACAAACTCTTCCGCTTTATAATATTAGTAAATAAGTGATTATTTTAATATTTTTATTTAGAACAAAAACTATGTTGAAATGCATAATGTGATTATTACAACAACTCTGTTCTTTTATTATTATAAGTGCAGTGGGGGAATTCGAATTTGGACGTGATGGGTTCAATAGTAATCCTTGGACGACAGCCAAGGTACGTTCCGATACTTGGTTTCGAACAGATATCACTAACAAAGAGTCTTCACTGTCACTACTCCCGTATTACAATAAAGTTGCCATCCCTTTTATTTCCTTAAAAAAGACAGAGATAACAATAATGCGTTATAATATGAACACAATTTAAAATCCTACGATTTGTGTGCGTGACGTAAAAAATATGACGTAATAAGTCAATCAAATATTGTAAATGTCACTCATCTGACAGTTTGTCATAAAAAAAAATAAAACATAAATTCAAACGCTTCGTTTAAATTATAACGAAAAGTGTCGACATTAATAATTTTAAATAGACGTCGCTGACAAAATATTTGCCGAGAAGTAAATAAATATAACGCGGTTAATGCTAACATTTTGTACGTAAAATGTAAAAGAAAATATGATTTTTTTTTACAAATCAAATGATGTTTGATTTCGGTGGCCTAAAAATTTTCCGACATATTTTCCGATTTTATATGTGTAGTTTTTCATCGGCTTTTAAATTTTTAATGTACCCGAAAAAGTAAAATGACAGTACGGCCTTTCATATAAAAAAATTCTCATCTTTAATTCGGGTTTTCTATAAATTTCTTCATACAATAGTAAAGGTGTTATATTAAGTCTGACGTTGATGTATTATTATTTTCTTGATTTCTCTTACATATGGAGTGAAATGTAGTTCTGTGAACTGCAAAGCTGTAGTTAAATAAGAATATATATTTTATTCAAACAATATTATAAAAAAAATCATCATCAGCTCACCATATGCCCCACAGAGGTGCTCGGACCCTACCATAAGTTAGGGATCTACTAGGCCATAGTCAACCACGCTGGCCAAAGGCGGGTTGATGGACATCACATACGTTTTTGAGTCTCTTCTCAGAAATGGGCATATTGCAATCACGATGTTTTCCTTCACCGTAAGAATCCTGGATTAATGTACACATGTATATCGAAAGACGCATTGTTACATGTTGGGATTGGAACCCAGAACCTGCAGATTCAGCAAATCTAATGCTTGACATCTGAGCCACCGACGCTCTAAAAAATATCCTTTTTTATTTAATGTTACAGTAAATCTGAAACTAGTTTATTAATACAATGTTAAAGTAATTACATGCGCGAGGTATCACGTAGTTTTCATGTAAACGAGTCATTTCAAAGCAGATGACTGCTTAAATTTACGATGTAAGCCACTCATGAACACATCGTAACATATAAAGCCTGAGAACACGTGAGATGATTGTTAAGATGTTTTTATTATGTTTAAATTGTAACATAATATGTATACCCACATATACATATTTACAATATCTAACATTTATATTGTAATCGTAGTTTTCTACTGAAATACATATAAAAAAAATTAAGTTTTATTGCCCTAGTACAGTAATTTAAAACAGTATGTTTTGTTTAAGGAGTAATTTAGTACAGTTTGCAGAAAAAGCGAAGGATCAAGAGTTTCAATTTCAGTATATTATAAAAGTCTGTTAACGGAAAATTGATTTTAGTAACTGATGACGGAAAAATACACCACGTTGTTAAACTGAAATCGTGTATCATAAATTGATGACCGGCAATGTAGTTGTCATAGATGGACGGATGCAAACTCTAATATCGTTCTATTAACTAGTGGACATTACATGGTCACTGAATTTGACATCTAGCTAATAGAATTTCAAAGAGCCCTCAGTCGCGGACGATATTGGAACGTCAACGGGATTGCTTATACTATTCTCTCGACATGCAGTCAACGTGGATCATTAAATGTTTCCATATGAAACAACAAACACCGATATGAATTAAGACATATTTCTGTCTCTATTTCGAGAACGAGAATGAGAGGGACAATAATATGTTATACTCCTCGACAATGGAAATATACATTATTCTGAAATGTTTCATACCTACTGGGTTATTTGAACATTACTTTGAACCATCGCCTGTTCATTGTGTGTTTACCGTCTTTGCGTATGTCAATATTTACGTTGACAGTTGCAATGTTTTTGAAATGAGAAATCTTAAGCAATGGATCGATACGAAAGGCAAGATAAATATCATACAGTGAGTTTCCATTGACGAAACATAAACAAATCTCTTCAATATTTTTATTACAATCATTATTATCCTGCTCTTAACTATATATTAACATAGTATGTACTTTTCCATACATTTCTTCAGCTTTGGAAAGTTTCATATCATTTTTGTAATAGTTGAATAGAGTGCATATTGTGTTCGTAATGAAATAGAGTCGTTTTATCCGTTTGCTATCTAAAGTTTTAATTAAATGGATGCGGGGCATTTATCGATGTTCCGGCTTCCATGAACGCATTAATTAAGTGGTTTGCCCAACAGTTGTTGGACGATTTAATTTGTTCTTGGTTTGCTCAGGAGTTTGATAAACTTTCTACCTCACTATTGGTATTAACTTAAACTTATATGCACTGTCATATTTAACTTTGAAATGTTTTTAATTAAGAAAACAACAATGGAGGAAGATGTAATAAAGTAAAATTGTTGAAAAAATAATGGTTAAAAAATTGAACAGTTTGATTAGAGATTGAATTTAATGAAAAATGTTAGGCAATCAAAGACAATGACCTTTAAGCCGTTTATAATTTTTGGCCAACTCAATCGTTTGTACGCTAGTCGTCTATTTTTGTCAGTTTCGTCACTAGTTGTATGAAGGACGCTGAAATGCGGTTGGTTTAGGATAAAAGCTTTCGTACGTGTCGCACTACGGCCGCTATAAAGACGCAGGCCCAAGTTTACGACCCCTGCACTCGTGCCGATAATAAATTACGCAATTCATAAAAGGGATAGAACACCCGGAGAGGTGTTATCGTACCACTACCGATGGTTGTTACGGCCCAAATGTTAATTCATACTCGAACTTACATTTTAAATTGTCAGTATTATATTCGAAATAGTATGCAATATCTAGTTGTTATAAAATTTTGTTTTTATAAAACAACTTGAAAGGTTAAAGAAATAATGCTTAGGATCACTTAGACGAGAAAATCATAGAAAAACTCTTAATTTTTACTATTCTGTTTATAATTATTAAAAGAAATAATCAATCAAAAGAAACTATTTTTATAATTTCTTCACCATTGGGAAGCTATAAATTCGGAGTAAGGTAGACAAGCATTTTTATTATCAACGCTGTATTGAAATTCAATTGATGATTGAAATAGAAATAAATACATTTGAAGACCTCGTGGCCCAGTTGTTAGAGTACTGGGCAATCATTTCCCTAGTCCTGAGTTCACTGTGCGACAAAAATATTTACCTTAACTATAGTTGTGATTGAATCTTCATTTGTTCCTTTGAAATAAATCTAAATAATACGTAATGATATTTATGTCACAATGTGTACAATTGGACGAAACAACTTAATATGAAATATGCGATAAAGGTAACCTATACACGAACAGTTTAAACAGTCGGTAAAGTGCCGGCAGCATTGTCGCCATTATAAAAAACTAAAAGAAAGACGTCATAATACTTGTTGAATTTTAATCTTTGTGAAAAAAAAAATTAAAAGATCAATAGTTTTATAGAATGAAGATAGTTTTTAGAAGACATTGAATTACATGAAAAAATTGTACAGATCTATTTTCGTATGCCTATTAGAAATAGTGCCGGTCAACGTTTGCTCTCTGGGGACTTTGATCTTGAAATTTGGTTTATTCTGTGACATTATTTTATTGCGAAGTCACGTTATCTTTTTTCAGTCATATCATTTTCTTCTTTAGTTCTATTAGCTTTTTAAGGCTACAGAGCGTATTGACTGACATTTCTTTGTGTCATATCTTAAATTTTTTTAAGTCTTCAACAATTAGGTTATGAATTTAAAAACAATCAGGGTACAGTAGTCTCTTTGTTTATAATATAACTAGCTGTTTTCCGCGGCTCCGTTCGCGCGGAAAGAAAAACAAACTTAATAAGTAGCCTATGTGTTCTTCCAGACTATGTTCTACATATATGACAAATGTCAGCGAGAACCATGCAGCTATACCTTCAAACAAACATCCATCCATCCATCCAAATATTCCCCTTTATAGTATTAGTAAGATATAATAAAGAGTAAAGGTTTGATTGTTTATTGGTATTGAATAGTCTGCGAAACTACTGAACCGATTTGAAAAATTCTTCCACTGTTAAAAAGCTACACTATTCCCGGGTTCTATGTACTGGGTACTTTACTTTGTTATGTTTTTTTAATAAAGTATTTTTGTCATTATCCGTACTAACCAATATTTCTATTATTCCATAAATCATGGTCACTGTATCATATATCTACATAGAAGTATTTTTAAATCTATAATATTATATTAAAAACCAATAATTAAATATATTATTAAAAGGGATCCCTTTAGGCAAGGTTCCCCCTTTGAATAGCTATACTAATTCTTTGTCCGAGGTAGCTGCCAGCTCTTCGGTCCCCTGTTATGTCGTTTAACTTTTTTGATATTTCCTTAAAAAGCCTTAAAGCGCTACCCCAAGGGCCAAGGGTCTCGACACCGAATGGGACAAAATCGGAGCCTAGACCCCTGTATTTGCTTGCTTTAGCATTTTCCGCCGCTTCCCAAGACTTTATTTAGTTGTAACATTATGTTAACACATCTAATAGCATGTGGTACAAAAACTAGGTATTTTTCGTAAGAAGAGTTACGAGCAAAGATATTCATAGAATACAATTGTAGTTATCTGGAAAGATTGTTTTTACATTTTTATGTTTAAAATCATTGTGTTATAGTGGCACTATTGAAAGAAGTAATTCAATGCAACACCGTCCGCTATAAGTAACCTAAAATAGTAACGTCCATTACCTATGTTTACGAAAGCGATAAAACACGAAAGGTTTGTTGTTTCATCACAGTATTAGGAATGCCTCAGTTATATCTACGATACGTCTGAATATTTTATATTTTTATTAGCATATTATTGAAAGTAATCTCGTAATATTTATTGTAACCTATTAAGCTGGAAGCTTGTATTTCGATATTGTTCGTAATTAGGCTAATGTCATGATTATTTGATGTCATTGTGATATTTTAATTCGTGAAGTAAAATAAGCAGGGTAAATCAAAGGGCATGGGAAGGGAAAATATTTTCTGTGCATCCTCTCCTCCGTCGACTAAAGGTAGGCAATGCATATGCAAATGCGCATGTCTATATGCAACGGTCACATCGCTATTTCAGCGATTTTAGGTGGCCGCTCGCTCGTTTGCCACCTCATGATATATATAAAAAAAATCGTAGAGTAGGTCAATTAATTAATTGTTGAAAAAGCCTACTGCAGAATAGGCCACTTAGAATATTTTAATAACTATACGAAGTAGAAATTAATAAAAAGAATGAGTTATTGATTTTTAATAGAAAGTTTTAGTAGTAGTTGCCGCATTTCACACTTTTAGCACTCGTGTTTTGATATGTTGAACGTAAACTGACCGCTAGAGAGATTTAATGATTGCGGGACTCTGTTACTTCGACCATTCAAGTGCGTAATTCACACATTGCCGGCAACAGTTCTAAAATATCCCAGCGCGAACATAACGCCTTCGTTTTCTAAATAATTAATAAAGTCGCCGACGGAAATGTCGCCCTTGACTGTCGCACCATTGAATTGAGAAATAATAAGCCGTTATATCATCGGAGATAAAGATTTATTAAGAGAATTAGACTACAGGCGAGTAACGTCAGCTAAGAGATACAAAATAATACGTATTTTTTTACTAATTTAAATCGATCTGATCACGACTCTTATGCTTCAGTATTACGGCCTAACTATACAGTCATACAGATTATTACAAATGTAATTACGTAAAATTTAATAACTTTCATGAACAAGCCATTCACATTTTATAGTTTTTAACGCATCGACTGAAACATAATAAACGTTACAGTGTAAACGTCACACATTTTAATGGTCATAAAACACTGGAATATTTTTGATGCTCTTGTGTACAACAAACTTTCGTTGCCAGTAGTTACCAAGTTTTGACTAGTTATGTCGACATTTACAAAAAAAAATGTTTAACATTAATCAACTATTATTTTTCGAATAATCAAACTTATTAAATATTTTTAGTGCTCATACAAATTCTCACCTCTAAGTCGGAGTCCAAGCCATCTATACTAGAATGTGTGTCCGATTTGAGGGACACTCTATTAGGTCTACGAGTTAGACTGTTGACACCCATCAGTTTGCTAGATCGACCTAAAGTACTGCTCCCATTGCTCACGATTTCCGGCTCACGGAAGGAAAGCTTCTTCCTCGGCCGTTCGTTGTTATCTTGGATATGAATATCAGCACTAAGTCTATCATTAACAGGTATCACTAACCGCGATTGAATACACACATCATCAGACGATTCGAAATTACGTTTAATTGGTGTGATTTCCCTAGGATAGCTACCTCCGAAGAAGTCTACACTATCATCATACCGTTTCATTGGCCCCATTGATTGCGGCCTCGGCCTGACTCTCTCTCCTACATATTCACGTGGAAGCTCGTCTATCCGACTCCTATGTTTACTAGCTCGCATGTCACTGAACTCGGGTTCCGAACGACTGCTCTTGAGTCTTTCGTTATTCTTTTTTCCTTTAGACTCATGTTTCTTGGGCCTATGTTGCTGATCGTTTTTCGACTTGAGAGCTCCACCGAGAGAGACTAGAGTACTCCGAGCTTTTAACAACACTTCTGAAGGCAGACTCTTTAATATATTGTCATTCTTTCGATGTTTCACATCGTGATCCTTATGATTGGACATTATGATATTTTAAAGGGCACATGTGAGATCGGTGTTTTCGCGTTTCTTTCGAGAGAGCGTGCGAACGTAACGCGGCATTCCTCGCGGCGCCCCACGAAACAACTGAAGTATCAGCGGCATGGCCAGCGCGTGCGTCGCGCGTCGCTACAAGCACCACAAATAAACACATTCGCGTATTCTCAGCGGTTGTGTCTGAATTACGTCGGCATTGCGGACCACTGATGCACTTCAACACCTATACGGATGTACAAAGTTTATCAGACATGATACAACATGTGGTTCAGAATGTAACTGAAACTATGATGAGCCATCTCAGCAGCTTAAAAATACATAATCAATCAAATATTGTTTTCTGGTAATTTTTCTGTTTAATTGATAGAGCGAGCGCATTTCGTGGTTATCGATATTAAATTTTGAATAATCAATATTAAAATATGTAAATTGATAAAAAGTTGGATCATATATTAATATTATATTATATTATCGACAGCATCAACCGACCAGTAATATTGAAAAATAATTGAAATTCCGCGAAAACAACAGACAAAATTGTTTCATTACAGAATTGGATATTGTTTTCCAGTTTTTGATAAATGTTTTTCAATTGTTTGACTTCTCTCGTCGATAATGTCGTCGGCAAATTATATTATATAACGATTAATCAATGATTGAAAATTTCAACATTGTATTTGGATCTAGTCCAATTAAAGAAAACTAGAGAGGACGTTATCTAGTTACTATGCTATATGAATCATTGAAAACGTTTTATACATTCCGTTTCGTAAAATTGTTTTCATCGAGCTTATTATCGCACTCAGAGTAATGGCTCTTAAGCAAAAAGTCTCTTAGTAAACCTATATTAAGATCTTACTTCATAGGATTATTCCCATAGTAAGTGCTTCACGAGAAACCTGTACTAAGAGGAAGCTTAGCAAGCATTAAATTATGTATTTCCTGAGTTAAAAAAAAACTATTTTTGCCAAGTCATGATTCAAAATATAATAATTTAATTGAAAGTATGCAACTTATAACATCCAGGTAAAATATATAAAGAAAAAGAAAAAAATACTTACAAATTCAGTCTAGATCGTAATTGTGAATATGAACAGTCGAACTTGGGTTAATGAAATCCCAGGGATCGCGATGTTTTTCTAGCTTATAGTAGTTTCTCATTTATCTAGTTTTGACTGTCAACGATATTGAATATAAAACTGCTTTTAAAACGCAATTTATTCAATAAATAAAAATAAAATGGTACTGAAATCTAAAACAATTAAAAGACGTTGACTTAATTAAATTATTCCCAGTAATAGTAACGTAACAGAATTACGCTTCTCAAAATATTATCGGCGCTCTAAAGCAGTATATCTTTCTTGTAATTTATGTTACTCGCTACCGTATTGTTTTCTCTCAAACGTTTAAAGATGTTAACACATTTTACAGTATACGAACAGATTTCTGTTTTCGACGCAAACTGATTTAAGATCACGTATTTTAAAATAAGGCAAGCTGATTGAGTGCGGCGTTAATACGCATCGGATGATGAAAGACGTTAAGAACATAATGTATCTTGACTTAATTCATTATAAAACGAATTTATGATTTCCTTTTGAATCACATCGTAAATCATTCTAACCAATATATGAACGGAAAGATAAGAAAGCAAGAAATAAGCTACGTATATCATATCCAAATATTACTTTTCGTTCGATCAACAGATTTCTTTAGTCGAATTTTTTGAGTCACTTCATCCATTACGCTATATAAAATTCGAGTTTTAACATAAAATATATTAAAAAAATTGTGCATGAGTAATACATTAAAATTGTTACATTTGCCGTGAGTTTCTAAGACCGATATCCCCGTTTAAAACATATTGTCATCTCTCTTTTGTCAAACATAATGACAGGGATGACGATATGTGTTATCCAAAGATTTTGTTCCGGGAACTAACGGTTAATCAGCTCAAAGATTGGGTTAGTATTTCTGAAGGAAAACTTATTATGACCTATATTTTTATATTACAAAAGCAAATTATTTTTATCAACGCCTGGCTAAAGAATAACATCGTAACTATAGCCAGATGGTTATTCAATCCAACGTTAATTAACAAAAACAAACAGTTGCATGAATTAAAGTTATTTTAAAAACGCAGTGTATATTACAGTGCTCATGGTTTCTTGTTTATTTTACTATTCATTTGCTTTTCGTCAAAACACGACTATTTATATTTTTGTTATTTTTAGTTTAAAATACATTAATAAAAATATATCATGAAATTCATGCAGAATAATATCAACGGAAGATTTGAAGTTTATTGGAGGTTTTGAGTGATGTGACACATGTCTCTGTTTTATCAAAGACAATGAAAGAGATGGCAATATGTTTGATACAAGTGTCATGACCCACAGAAGTGTAACGACTATTTCTAATACACAGTTAGTAGCAAGTGAATACAAGTACTTTTACTTTCTCTCTCTCTGACTCTTACTCTATCTCTCACTTCCTTGTCTCTCTAAAAGAACTGGGATAACAATGAAATTTCGTCAGTGAAACCCACGGTAAGTTAATAATTATATGTCTACAAAAGTCCTAGAAGACAAAAGTATGTTAAAATTATAGACACCACGACCATGTCACTGAGATATGCCGTGTTGTAATATTAAACATTAGCAGTGTTTCTAAAACGTGTCGGTTTAACAATCCTTGAAATTAGTTATAAGCTCTTTATCTTACAACTTCTAACCGTATTTATGTTGATATTGAAATCTTAATCGAAAGTTTCCCGACTTGTTTGGTGTTCTGTTTTCATGAGACTGATCGGTCCGTTTGAAACTAAGTTTATTTATCTTCTACAATGTTTAAGAACTACTAGATGTCGAAACGTCGAAGTTTATGTTGCTATTTAGTACCAAGATCGTTTAAAGAAACTATAATCGTAATCCTTGTGCGATAAAATGTCGGAAAATCAATTGGTGTTTTAAAATATCGCCACAAACGATTTAAGTTCGACTTTCGTGTAACAGATGGTTACGGCTCCTTTGCAAATTACATCTTTAATTGATTGTAAAAGTCAAATTTAGTTAAAATAATGCCGACAAATAAGATTGCAAAATGGGATAAAATAGGCATAAGTTTCGTGGGCAGTTTGTGAGTTTATATTCTTGTTCTATTTAAATATTATAAACACAAATATTGAAATTATTAAGCTCAAAAAACTAAAGGTATATACAGGGTGTTTGGAGGTGTACATATGTATGTTGGAAATTAAAAAAAAATCAAAACGCAAACTATTAAAACAATTAAATTGATGTCTTGGTTATTTCTACAAATTGCTTTATTGTTTTTCTTCGTTTTTGTACAGGTGTTTCGGCAGTGGAAACTCAAATATTGATCGGAAACTTGCATCGTAAATATCTTGGTCCTCCGAGCAGGATAAGCGAAAATCTTAAGCCTTATTTACGTCATCGTATATGTATTATAGATGGCGGAAATAGTGAAAATTATCTATATTATAGTGGCTCTACTTGCAGAGTTTGCATTTTTAAGGCGTATGTGAGAAGAAGTTGCACCTGAAACAACTTTATTTAATTTAACACATTTTAACTCTACTAACATTAAAAATATCTTTGTGAATATGAGAATAAATTAATGAAGGAACGCTCGCTTGGTTCTGGGGTCGAATTCCAACGGAAAGCGTGAATGTGAAATGAGCAGAGCGTCTTTCATAATTAATGTATGTTTTTTACAAGCCGGGATATACTTTGATATAGCTAAGATTATTTTTCAAATTTAATGTATTTATTGCGAGAAGCAATTGACAAACCTAAAATTAGTTTGAGATTGTAAGTTGGATTGTAAGTTCGAAATCGAATTATAATTTTTATTTATCTTACTAATATTATAAATGCGAAAGTTTGGATGGATGGATAGATAGATGTTCGTTTGAAGGCATCTCCGGAACCGCTCAACGAATCTTGAAATATTGTACAGATGTAGAAGTAAATAGTTTAGAAGAACAAATAGGCTACTAATTAAGTTTTTTATTCCACGCGGACGGAGTTGCGGGCGACAGCGAGTTTATGAATAAAAACATTCATGTCGAGAATTGGACGGACTCCCAATTACTTGCTATTTACGTAAAAAGATGCATAAATATATGTACACATAAAGCAAGTTAAACTTCCGCACATTTTTTTAACAAACATAAATAAAAGACACCCTAGACAAGGCATCATCTTCAAAGAGAACAGACGTTTTATTATATCTAACATCAATCATTACAACTAAAAAAACACTATTTTTAAATTTTCAAAGGAAAACTTCCGATATTATGTCATGAAACAAATATAAGAATGAGTAAGAAACAATTATAATTATGATTAACATCGTCTATATCAGTCCATTAGAAATGTGTCTTTCTCAATGCTTTCAAAAATGTCAAAAACTATCCAAATTGTATCATCAGGTCCGAAGTTAGTGACTTGAAATCGGTTAATAACACATAGATATCTAATTCGTAGTGTACACGAGTGACAGACACGATATAAATCGTCGGAATGCTCTCTCAGAAAATAACTTTTGACAGTGTTACTGTTGCACGAGTCGTCTGAATATAACAATAGAACATTAGCAATTTAATTTACTGAATAGATTGCAATGGAATCTTTGAAAATTTAACAAATCTCAGTAACCTTAATAGGCACCCATTATCCCCGCGCATTAACGTTGATTGTGTTCCCCGCTACTTTCACTAATTACTAGCAATACAAGAGTAGGCTGATATTTTACTGCAGAATTTCGAGGAATTCATATAAATTACTGACAATTTTGGGTTATAGTCGGTAGACGTAGCTATAGCCCAACCCGGTTTTAGCGAATACGATTGTTATGTTTAATTAATTAAGGGTTGCTTCACACGATTTGATTGTAACAAATACCGACCGCTTTAAATATGGCGTACAACATCATCAGCGCGGCTCTTGTATGGCGAAAAACAACTCCTGATCGCTCAACGCTCTCTGATATCTGGCTGTTTCAAGGTTACTGTT